AGCTTTTTGGAAATTCCCCCTGGACGGGGGTTTGATTCCCAAAAAGCCGGACATGTTTGGGGAAAAAACGGACATATGGTAACCCTACTGAAAAGTTAAATATAGGTAGCCTCTCACAGAAAATAGTTTTTTTTCTGATGTGCACTAGGCCATCTTTTCCCCTTCACTCTGCCGTGACAGCAGTGTCTGCAAGAGCAGATGACAAGCCCTTTGATCATTATGTTCTGGTGTGAATTAAGTTTGCACCACATTCAGTGTCACATCCTACTTATCTTTAGGAAACAAGGCTCTGATATTTGAAAGTCAGTTGAGTCAGTGTTAATGTCAACAGTCAGTTATAAATATCAGGGCTTTAAAAATAATTCTGCTCCCAGGGTAAGGTTTTCTACCAGTTTTCTTGCAGTTGTACATAATGACAGCTTCCTCTGCAAAACCTCTTCCCCTGTGGCAGGCTTGTTGTGAGGGATGGTGTGCTCACAAAAGCTGCCAAAGGCAGGGCTTCTGAGCAGAGCCCCTCTGTATCCTTTAAGGGGGCTTCCAAAGGCAACTCCTGGTAGAAGAAGCAGACAGGGAGCTGGAGTACAGCTACATAGGACTAAAATGCAACAGAGAGGCTTCTGCAAACCCACTAGAATCTGCTTCATAGTGGGAGTCCTGCCTCTGATCTGGGGGAAACTCTACAAGACCCGGCACCCCCTCCACTCCACCTTAAGGTTCCTTCCCACATTTTTTCTGCAGGAAAAAGTGACCTGCCCTAGTGTTTTTAAATGTGTGGTCTTCCCCGTGTTTTCTGTGTGCTCTTCTAAATCTATATTTTCTTCATGACATCTGAATGACTCCATGCTTGGGAACTGAATAAACCTTTTTAAGAGGAGGGGGAAATGGATGTGTGTGTGAATTTTCATGTTTAGTGAAGTTCTAGCATGCTAGCACTAGCTAAGGTCAACCATAGCAGGGACATGTGGAATGCAACCACCTCTGCCACTGTGATAGACACAGAACTCCATCCTGAAGTCACCAGTTAGTTGCAAAAGCCTGCATAAAACCTTTCTCTTTCACCTGCCTTTAAAGCCCTAGAGTGAGAATTAAAAGTGCCCAAGCCTTCTTTGTGGCAGATCCTTGTCTCTTCAGGATGAAACTTTGGAGAGAAAGGGTTTTGTTTACACTAAAGAAAGAGAACTGATATGCCTTTGTTTTGTCTGAAAACTTAATGCTATCACCTCCTTCACCTGCTTTTGCTGTCCCGACATGGTTAGATTGTAAAGCAACATTTCAGCAATTATAATACACCGTTGTAGACTTGCACTAAAATGACTCTGAGATGCACTGAGGTCAGACTAGATGACCCGATGTTCCCTGAAATTGATGACTCTATGAACTGCTGATTACCAAATATTGAGATTAAGCAAACTGACAAAAGAAAAGAAAAAAGCTCAATGAATAGGGCCCCTGCATTGCTATATGTACTTGTCCAATTATTTTTACAGATCTAGTTTAATATTATTAATTATTTATAGTTTCTTCATAGTAAATGTGCTGTATTAGGTTTTGTAAAAATTGTGAAGTCTTAGTAACATCAGACTGAGCTACAGCAAATCTGCTATTAAATCTTTGAGGCGTGGAATGAGGTTACTGGATTTTTTGTAAGAATGTTTGTCGTTGCAGATTATCCTAGTGAGAATTGTATTGTACTGTGTACATTCTGCCCCAGGGTTGCCCTTAATGTAAGACATTTAAGGAAGCGCCATCAGGGCCTGCATCCTGTAGACTTCTATATGAGAGCTGCTGAAAGCACCTGGGTACAAGACACATGGTCTGATTCTAATGTCAATCAGGAGTAACTTTACTAAGTCACTGGAGTTATCCAGTGTACATGAGAGAAAAATCAGTCCCACAACCTTTGGCCATAGCCAAATGCTGAGAAAAGTAGATATTTCCTATGAACACATTGGGGTAACTTTGTAAAACACATGAGGATCTAAAGCCTGCAGCCCTGGTTATAAACTCTGCAGTCAAGAGGCTAAATCCTCAACAGAAACTGCACAAAACCCTAAGTAGAGTTCAGAATAGGCTCCACTGAAGTGCAAAATTGGGGGATGAAATCAAACTTGTCTTGAAGGCAGAGAAGATGCATTGGCTTTCTGTATCGTGCCTGTTCATGGGCCTGTGTGACTGATGGTTCAATAATATCATTTCTCTAAAGGGATACAGCCGGAATGCTAGCATTTCTCTTCCAATGATAATATTCTGGGCATTGTGTGTCTACTATTAGCAAGATATTACTGGACTCTCCTCTCTTGTTGGCTGTTTAAATAAAATAGTGTCTCCAAAGTAAAATTAACGTAAGTGTGCTGTACAGTTTTCTCAGAGTGAAATATTTGTAGACCCTAGAGTTCAGCAGCAGCCATTTGCTTGAAAGTAGGTTTCAAACACCATGGCAGAAGGTTAGAAAAGCACAGTGCCACCTGAGAACCCAATTTATGTGTGTGAATCCATGATTTGCAAATACACCTTCCACCTCCTTCACCTAATTCCACCAACAGTGGCGTCTGAATAGACCATGTAAACAACCTGCCCGTGTCCAAACTACAGGAATAGGAAGGACTTTATTTTCACAGAATGTGGGCTTTTTAACCACTAACAGGGTTTTTAATTAATGCTTGTCACTGTTGTCAAGAGAAGCTGTTCGTCAGCTGCTTATTACTCGCACAAGGAATGGTTCTAATCAGTTTCTATTTAAATGCTGGTCCACCACTTCTAGCCCTGGTCCTTTAGTTCCTTTTGTTCTCGATTCTTAGCCCACAAATGAAGGTGTATTCCTGTCAACTCCGAATTTTGAAATAACCACTTAACTTTGCTTGAATTCATTCAAATGGCTAATGCCAGAGTCTTTTTTTTTTTTAAGGCATAGGGGAGGCTGCAGTCTTGTTCCAAGTCATGCACTCTAGGTAACAAAGTATATTAAATCCTCTTGTTCGTATTTACTAGAGCTGTGCTCCACTTTGAATCATTCCTTTATTTCCTCGCAAATGTCAGCAGGAAAGTACCAGTAGGAGAACTAGTGCTGCAGAGCACAACAAAAAGTTGCTAACTTCTTCCCAGTGTGCTGTTGTGTTGTGATGGGACCTGTGGAACTCTTAAATGAACGGGATAGTCAGTTGCCTGTGCTGGGGATGGTGGAGCAGATTTAAACCCACACGAGCAGTTTTTAGGCTATATTAGCTTTGTGGGAAGGCTTAACAGATTGAAAGTTACACAATATAAACAACATTTTTTCAAATGACTAATGATTTTTGGATGCCTTGATTTTTGGTCACCCAAGCTGAGATGCCTTAAAAGGGCCCGATTTTCAGAAAGTGATGAGCACCCACTCTCTGAAAACCAGGCCTTCTTAAGGTGTCTCAGACTGGGCACCCACACAATAATTTATAAACCCCAAATCAGTAGTTCTGAAGATCTTGGGCTGTGGTTTTGCACTAACTCATCAATAAAAAGTAAATATTAAAGAACCCAACCATCAAAGTGAAGCCAGATAGAATATTGAAGATGTTGCTGTCTTCATAGCAAATACATCCATATTGGTACCAGCCAGCCACTTTATACTGTCCCCCTTTGTTATTAATACCACGTAGCCCAGAATGATAACTCATTAAAGAAGACAAACAATAGACCCACTTGGGTAAGACCTTTCTCTTCTACACAGTGAGAGAAATTCTGACCCCATTATAGTCAGTGGCAACCCAGTATCATTTCTGCCCTCAAGCACAGTTACCTGCTATGGTTTTCAAGTAGTAACCCTCATTGCCACAAGTACCATATTGTGCTTATGCTCTCAATCTGTAATATCGGCTTCAGCAGGGAAGAGATCGGAATCTAGGAAGAGATCTTTTTTTAATTTCCATTTATTGCACAAGGTGATTTGAAAGTATAGTAATATGAGGCAGCACTTTGTTATCCTTTAATGAAAAAGATTAGTATCTACAAAGGATGTCTTCAGTTTGTGCTCTTCTGAAGAGTCCTGCATCATATTAGTTTGGGTCATTAAATGAAGGTTTTCTTAAAAAAAAAATCCCTATATTTTTCAGGACTGTGTAGTCAATTTTATCCAAATCCACCTGTCTTATTTTTGCTTTGTATTTGTTGTTATAAATAATAGGCAGATAGAGCATCAAGGTCAGAATGTTTCTTTATGATGAACATGAATGAAACAAATGAGAGAACAGGATTACAAATAAAGAATCAATTAGGGAATTTGTCAAGTTAAAATTTTCTTGAGATGAAACTATTTAATATGATACAGTTTACAATACTCTGAGGAGATGTCTAGGGTATGCAGTAATTCTGCTCTCTACTAGATGGAATATGAACTGCTCAACTGTGTGCCATGGGCCATATATTGCTAACAACTAATGGAGATTCATATCAAACTAACCATGCACTGCAGTGGAAATATGCCCCTATGGCCTGATAGAATAAAAATTCTATCTGGTTTGCATACCAAAGAGATTTTATATTGAGATCAGCATCATGCTTTAAAATGTTAGCATATTTGATTTCAGAAAAGTACATTAAAATCTCCTAATGAGTTGCTTTCCTTTCCCCCGAAACAGCATATGCGAGAGGCTGCTGAACGGCGGCAACAGCTGGAATTAGAGCATGAGCAAGCCTTGGCTGTCCTCAACGCAAAGCAGCAGGAAATTGAACTCCTGCAGAAGGTAAGTGAAGAAAATGAAAACCAAGTGAAATGGCAAATTGCAGTTTTTGGGCATGGGTAAAGAAATGGATCTCTGCAAATGTCTCCCAAATTGAAGTCCCCCAAAACAATACTGTTTTCCCTTCACGTACTACAGACAGGTGTTTAAGGAGTAATGTATCCTGTTGTCTGCTTTGAATTGATGGTCTGTAACAAACTTCCTCCACCACCCCATCGCAAGCGTCAATAGTTGGCACATTGATCATCCTGGCTTCAATTTGACCCATACACTCTCCTTCATACTATAATTGAGGTTCTTGGTGTGTCTTTTCCATTGTCTTTCATCAAACAGATTCCTGACAACTTAACATGTTCATTTATGAAAGGATAGAGATGGCTTTTGTAGGGATATTCTCTTGCTGTGTGTATGTACAGAGCCTAGCACCTTGGGACCAATTTTGGTTGAGGCTTCTACCTTCTTCTGTAATACAAATAATTATAATACTAAAGAAAATATTCTGTAGAGATGCAAAAGTGAGGGGACTGGTTTGGCAAACCAGACGGATGAGGAGGTCCAAGTGGTTCAGATGCTAGTCTGAGACACAAGAGACCTGGGGTCAGTTCCCTGCTCCCCCATCGATATCCTGGGGGACTTTGGGCAAGCCACTTCGTCCCTCTGGACCAGATTTTCAAAGATATTTAGGCACCCAGTGAGATTTTCAAAAGGGCCTAAGCAGGTTTGTGCCTGTTGATTGTAATGGGAGGTAGGTGCCTAACCAATTTTGGTGCTCTTGAAAGTCTCACTGGGAGACTATCTGTATCTTCAGGAATCTAAATACCTTTCAAAATCTGATGCTCCATGCATCAATTCTCAGTCTCTAAAATGGAACTAGTACCCGACAGGGATATTGTGAAAATAAATACCTTAATACATTGTGAGCGCTGAGATATATGGTAGTGGGGGCCATATAAGTACTTAGATAGATTGACCAGAGTTGGGAGGCTGTTCCGTGCACTGAAAGACAGTGTGAGAAATGGCATCTAAATGAATTAGTAACAGAGGTTAACATTAGGGCTGCACTGATCTGCTCCCTGAAGATTCAGTACTGGCTCACATTCAAAACCTGGGCTAACCTCTCCAGTTGCCTGTTAGGCTCTCATTAGGTTTGCCTTGCCCCCTTTTTTTGGTTGGATACATCTAATTGCTTTAAATAGGCACATTAAAATACTACCAGCATGCATGGGGCAGTAATGTGGTGGTGTGCTAGATTTAGAACTTGCATGTCACCCAGCATTAATATGATGAAGTTCCAAGGTAATGTGCCCCATTAAACAAAGCCAAAAGCTGCTGCTTTCTGATACCTTTGCTGTATTGTTTTGATAGAAAAATAAGTCATTATTCTTTTGATATGTACATGCATGCTTTTATCCCCATCACCCAGTGTTTATCTAGTCCTTTGAGCTCCACAAAGAAGAACATAATATTGTTAATCCAGATTTTATGGTGATACAGACTCAGATAAAACAGTGATTCACCAGCAAAGTGTATTACGAGCCTTTGCAATGGAAGGGGGAGTTAACTGTTCTTGCAGTTTTTCTGATCATTTATCAAGAGCTTGTATTCTGGATAGATTTTATTAAACTTGTGATGATTGATAATGTGCTGGTTTCTGTTACCTGTCATAATATGTTTCCTGACACTCTAAGAATCAATATTTTATCAGAGGCTAGCAAGAAGACTTATTATTATAGTACAAGAAGAAATATGACTGTTCATCAGTGCCAAAGGAGATGTTGTTATCGTGCAACAGATTAACATTCAGTTTCAGTAGATACCCTCTACAATGCCTTTAAGGTCTGATCCAACACCAATGCAAAGCAATAGGAGTCTCTCCATTGATGTTAATGAGCATTGTATCGGGTCTTTGTAGCCAATGGGTCAGATCCAGCAAAGTTAGTGCAGCTGCGCTGATGTACATCAGTGGCGGTTCTGCCGCATGACACTGGAATGTTTATAGGAAATGGTTGTCCTAATGAGGATTGCTTATAATGGTGTGTATGTGCAGGAGTAAGGAGTGCAGGGGCCTAGGATAGCCAGTGTGCCACACCGGTGCATTTTGCCTGCCTGACATAATGGTTAACAGAAGGTTTTGACGGATTCATAAATCTGGAGCAAACTTCATTAAAGTTCACGATGAAAACTGAAAGGGAGATAAAATGAGGTTAGCAGGAAATTACTGACTGCTACAGATTCCTTTGAAGTTTCTTAAAAGCCTTTGACTCTCCCTAACCAGACTCAGATAACTGAATCTGTGATTGGCAGGACAAAACACTAAATTCTGTGCTAGACATCTCTCTCTGTCTCTCACTTCTGTACAGTGAAAAACACTTACGTGTTGTTTGGGGGAGTCGATCCATGCTCCACAGTCTCTCCTCTTGAACCCCTTCTCCCCATCTCTTTCTATGTTACCAAAAGCCCAGGCTCAGGCGTACCTCCCTTACAAAGGATCACACTGTAGCAGCTTTCAACTAAGCTGCAACAATAAAACAATTTACAAATGTTAATTAATCCTCAAAAATGCACCAGCACACAGGAAAGAGAGAGACTGATAAAATTTTATCCACTAGAAATACAGTCACTTCTGGTGTGGAACACAGTGTTCATCTAACAGTGCACAAGAATACTCCACAACAGTTGAAGACAAGAAGTACAAATGAAAATGCAGGCATTGTTTAGCTAGACAAACTATAACATTGTAATTTGGCCAGGACACTAATGTTCTGAGATCTTTAATGGCCACACGGCCATCTGAAAAACACACAACTTGTACCAGAGCACCCCCTCCTGGTTTAAGAAGGGTGTTGATTCAAATGTTAACTCAGAGAGATCAATCAACATATATTTATTTACTTTGTAGTATGCAATATAACCTTAACATATGATGTAGCCCATTACTGCATTTGGGTAGTTACCGCAATGAGCATTATTATTTTTAAGATCATGTTTATATTGACTAATGTTAGCTTGGGTAAACTTTCCAAATACACAAAGAGTTTATATAACCATAACAGTACCTACATGCACGCCCCACCTGCCCCCAAAATCCCTCTTTTATAGTTCATTCAATTTGGTATAAACCTAGGGTAGAGTTTTCACTATATGTCTGCTAAAATTGTACAATTTCACTGTGAAATTACAGTTGTAGCGACCTAGTTTGTCAAGGACCCAGAAACTAAACTTAGGCTTGTCCAAATGCATGGAGAGTTTTTAAATCTATTGATTAAATATGTGAAATTCAGATAGTAATTATATATAAACTGGGATACCAGTCATGAAAATGATGTTTTAGTGGAATTTCACCATATTTTCATGGGCATAAAGATTTTACTTATATATGATCTTCTGTGCTGTCCATTGGTGAAACCTACATGCCCCATTTACAATTAATATGTTTATGTTTTTTAATTTAGCTAAACTATAACCTAAATAACAGTTCCCAAACTGACTTATGGGCCACCTGTGGTTTATGAAGCACTTGCTAGAGGCATGCAAACAGCTAATTGGTCAGGGAAGGATTAAATAGCTAATAGTTGAAAAGACCTTTACAGATACAATGCATCATACGTGTGCTAAGATGCCAAAGTGTTTACGTGCTTTGCTGAATTAGGACTTACCTGTTATTACTGGATTTGAGCTCCAAGACTAAATAAGTGTTATGCATATAAATATGTGCATTTTCTCTTTGAATTTCTCACAGCAGAAACTTTCCTCCACATTTTAGCTGTCATGTCCTTCAAGCATTAGTCTTAAATATTGCTTCCAGTCCACTGTAGTAGTTAAATGTCCATATCTTATTACAATGAAATTAAACATTTTTTCATCGGCAGTTAACACTGTTTTACCAATCATCAAACAGCCCTATTAAAGCAAATGTTAACTATTGCCAGTTTTTAAACTGTTGAGTTGAATGTCGTTGTACATAATTGCCCACCACCTTCTGCATTGTGGCAAAATTCTATTCCATTTAACTCCTTTAGCATGAAATTTATTGTTGGAAACAATTTTTGTCACTTAACTTGGATGATTTTAGTGGTCATTTATCAGTGTTGGTTTTTTTTTAAAGCATGCCATATGTACTGCCAGCTGAAAAGAGCTGTCGTTTAATTAGCTGATTTCGTCAAAAATTTTCATTTGATTAAGATCCATTCATTAAGATTAAACACTTTATAACTTGGATTCATTAATTAAAATTTAATTTCATAGAGTATTTTGAAATGTTAGCATATTCATAGCATTTTGAAGTCATATATAGATATAGAGAGATTTTTATTAGCCATTATATTTTATTACTTTAATTTTTGACAGGCCTCTCATGTAGCATCTCCAGGGTCCTTGTCTTAGCTTATTTAAGCAATGACAATATTTTTCAGTATTTGAGCAGAACCACCCTCCTCATTCTCACCTAATCCAAAATCTCTGTTTTAAATGAGACCTTACCCAGAAATGATAGAGCAGGCAGCCAGCCATATCTGTTACCTTAAAAAAGAATCTTTATTAAATGATAGTTTCAGTGAAACCATTAAGTTGATTTAAGAACAGTTAATTGACTTCATCTCCCCATGTATCCCTGATGCCTGTCACATCATCATAAATTTGCAGATTTGTCCAATTTTTGCAGAGACACAGAAATGAACATGAGCTATACCAGGGCTTTTAAAATGAGTTTTAGTTTGCTTCAGGAACTTCAGTAGAACCCTGTATTTCTCTCTCAGAGATAACAGATACACAATAAAGGATCCAAAGCTGCATCCTTGCTCCGGCAAACTATTCCCAGAACCAGGTCCTGGATATTTAGGTTTGACCTTTCAGATCATTCTTAATCCCACATTCTTGTTTACACTTGCAGTTTTGCAGGTGCCATCAATGTGTAGCTGTCTATAACTGAAATGCAGACATACTTGTGGGCACAGATGTCTGTTTCTTAAGGTCTTGTCTTGTCTTCCTCATGCTGCTACTTCCATTGACTTTAATGGGGCTACTCCTATTAGTGAGGCAAGCAGTATTTTACCTAAATTATTCCTTTGATGCAGGGAAAGAGTCTCTTAACATAAAACTGGTTTTCACTTCAAATCTTGCACATGGTTGTTTTTCAGCACCTCCGCATCTTTGCAGATTTCCACAACATAGTTTTAAGATACATTTGTATTAAACTGGCCCCTAATAAGGCACCATATAAAATGAATTAGAGCTGAATTTGCTGGTGGAGAAGCTAAAACCAACCTTTGTGAGACATGCTCTAGAGAGAGATTGTTAGCAAAATTTGGAATTGTTAACAATAGCTTTATCCTTCTCTCATTGCTGTATGGATAAAGGATCCCACCTGGATGGGACAGGCGTGTATTGGGGGGGGGGGTCTGTGTATGATCCTGGAATAGAAAAGGGTGAGAACCATCAAACAATAGGATTTTAAGGCTTTATCTATTAAATTGCACTTTGCAAAACAAAAAGGATATCTATCTACTATGTAGCAAAATTAAATAAAAAAAACGTTAATAATCTTCTAATGGTTTTAGGTTACAACAGATCACAAGACAGCTCTCATTTTCTTGCAGTTTTGAATCATAATCCAATCAGGGCACATTTGAAGTGAACCCTAAATGTTGTACTCTCAGTAACATTGACACAAAACATCTGATGGCATAGCAGCATGTTATGAATTGTTTTGTTACCTGACTACTTAACGTTTAAAGTTAAGCATACACTTCGTTGATTTGGAGCCGGGGCAGGTGCCAGGTCCAGCCCCCATTGACTTTAATGGTCTTTGGTTCAAACCCATATACAGTGTAGTAATCAGTGGCATTTTGTTGAGTTAACAGGTAATATATTCATGTAGTGCTGGCTCTGATTATTAAATTTGATTTCATTGTATTTTATCTGAATGTAAGACTATAAAAATATGATTTAAAAGTATCATATTCAGGCAAACTTTTAGTTATGTTTTATTCTAGTGCAAAATGAATATGGCATGACTGAGTAACCTGGTTTCTTCCTTTTTTTAATTATAAAAAAGGCTCAGGTTGAAGCAAAGAAAGAACATGAAGGTGCAGTTCAGCTGCTAGAGGTAAGGAAGCCATTGTTTATTCTTGTCACCGTTATACCAGTTCCTTTCTCATTATAGTCATATAAGACCATGATTGCTTCTAGCACACTGTAGTAATTCATGGGTAAATATTCCTCTTCATTTGTAACTCATGTATGCGTTAGATGATGCTGTTATGATCCAATGGCTAGAGCACTGAATTGGGAGTCCAAGAAACCTGTGTTTTCTTACCACCCGTAACTTCACATCTCTGTGCCTCAGTTTCTGCATCCATAAAATTGAGATAATGATACCTTTCTTTGTATACTGCTTTGCGATCTATGGATGAGAAGTGCTATTACATAAGTATTATTATTGTTTATTTTCCATCATTCTATTGCAAAAGAATCTAAGGTCAGTTTATAGATCATAACAGTTAATGGTAAAGGTAAGATTGCATTAGCAATAGGTGTCCATCAAAACTCCTTCTATTCATCTATCAGGAGAAAAAAATACAGAAATATTTGTTTAAAAGTTCCTTTGTTTTTATTTTAAATCCAGCTTTTTACACATTTCACCATAAATCCCTTAAATTGTACCTACTGTTAAAGAGGGAGAATAGAGGAAAAGGGAAGAATAAAAAAAATCTATATTAGCTTCATTAACAACGTCTCATAGCAATTATGATCTTGGCACAGAGCATTTCCTGGGGATTAATGTTCACCTTTTTTACCTCCCAGCGTGGTTAATGTGTCATGTAAGGTGGCCCATAATATTATGCTGGACCAGGGCAAGTGGCAACCAAAGGCAGCAGAAATTAGACCTGGTCGAGAAATTTTCAACAAAATATTTTTTCATGAGAAAATGGCAGTGTGTTGAAACTGAAACTGTTTGCAGGAAAGGATCAGTTTTGACAAACTTCTCAGTTTGAAAAAAAAATTGGAATTTTTTTTAAAATAGTCCAAATTTAAAATTCTGTTTTTTCTGTTCTAAACAATTTTTGATTTTGAAATTTAAGCTAACCGTACTATTAAAAAAACTAACAAAAAAGTCAAAATCCAAACAAAACATTTAAATTGACCCGAATTAAAAAAATGTTCTGATTGTTGGTTTGTAAAAATGTTCAAGATTTTGGTGATTTGTCCTGATTCAGAATGGGCAAACTTTTTAAATCTCGAAAAAAAATTTATCAGGGTGGGAAACAGTTTTAGCAATATTGTAGTAATGTAGTCTGCTAGAGACTGATTAAAAGCTCATTGGAGTCAATGGCTGATGTTTGGTGCTGATCACTACGTATTCTGGTTTGTGTTATCTTCCTATTGTGTTATTTGTAGCACTTGGATGGGTAACATATATAAGAGTATATGTGAAATAGTAAAATGGCACTCTAATTGCAGGCAGATTTATTTTATTGTTCATTTCTATTTCATACATAATAGATTGTCAGTGATGAGTAACAAACTGTTCCTTCCTGCCTGAGACAAGTATCACACGAGTCACTATGAACTAATAACCACTTAATAATATATAAATTCATCAGAAAGACGATACCCATAAATAGGTTGGCTGCAGCTAGTACCTTGTAAGTGATAATTTGGTAAAGAATGTCTTGGCACAGTGTTTTGGAAAAAATACATATTTTCTAGTCCTCCCTTTCTTCTGTACAACCAGTTCTTCCATCCATGCACTTACCTCCCCATGTATTGATGGAAGACAGAACTTTTTGGTGCAGTGATCATCCATAGAAGAAGATTCTGTTTAGTTAATTTATGTACATATTATTTCCTTGAAAAGTGTATTTCTCCACAGGAAAAGCTTTACTCATATGCTTGCATTATTATCAGATATAGTAAAATTGATTTTTTAAAAAGATAATGGAGCGCCTTCTGGAACGTATATGAGACAAGGGGAAATAAAGCAGACAAATGAAAATATATATGCCTTGAAAGCCAAACAAAATTCCTGTTTACCTGATTTGTCTGCTACCTCTGATTTGCATAACCCCATCAAACAAAGTTTCTTGGCCTTTTGTTTTATGTTTCACTAAGCCTATTCATTTTACCATTGTGTTTATTTAATCTGCCTTTTGAGATTCAAGATCAGCAGCAGTATTGATTTCTGATTTCTGAAATGTACAGTGTGATTTGCATTAATGCATGTTTTTACATGTGGTAACTGTTTCAATATATTTTGTTCTGAAATGTAAAAAAAAGTGTTCAATACTGTATTTTATTTCTTTCTTTATTTCACATTTCTTTGTTTACTGTGTCTTGTTTGGAATTTATTGCTTTGCACTTCACCCAGAACACCTTGGACAGCATGCAGGTATTTTAGGGCATAAATTCTCCCTTCCTCATTCCTGTTACCCTCCATTCAAAATGTATGTGATAGTCCTGCCTTCCCTTGCATGGAATACATGATAGAACCATTGTTATGCAAGCATGCTTGGCACTGGTATTGTTACAACCCTGGGAGGAAGGCAAGTCAAATTACCAAAGCCAGCAGCTCTTTCTGCAAGAGGTTAGCCTTTGAACATGGCATGATTTCTTAATAGCAGCTCAGATACCAAACTTGAAGTGATGTTCTTATGAGTATGCTCAGTAAGAATGGTTCAGTGTTTTATGCAAAGTTGTGACTTTCAGACTGTGTGGATTGTGTCTGAATTCAGATAGATTCTTTGTTAATGTAAAGAAAATTTTACAATGCAGTACTTTAAGAATGTATTCACCTCTGGCTCAATTATTCAGCCACTCGCCAAAAGGTACTGCTGCTACATAAAAAGATAAAATCTACAAAATGATATCCCGGGAGCAGAAAATGTGATTACACCATTAGCCTGAATTCAAAACTGTCCACCTGGAAAGTGACTCATCTAGTCTTACGTCTGCCTTGTGCAAACAGTATCTATCCTATAATAGACAAAGTCTGCTTCATTCTAGATTTTAGAAACTATTTTAGATTTTAGAAGCAACACTGTTCATTATAAATAACATTTATATACGAAGTTTGGAAAGTCACAAGTGAAATAGATTCAATCCAGTCTGCAGTGGAAAATTGCTTTCTCACAAAACCATTGTACAGTTGGGCACAATAAGTGGCCTCTAATTTAAGGAAACTATGGACTAATATTCCATTTTGGTTAGGTCTGAGTTGGATTGATAAAGCTATGGAATGGAGTATCAAATTCACAAGTGATGCTTAGGTCTTGTGCTGCCTCTCTGCACTGGGATACTTTGAGGCAGATACAGAAACAATGAGACACGCCCACCAGCATATGGTTAAATGTGGTGCCAGCAACTTTATTAAACTATTAACCAATGAGGAACCACTGATGGAGCTACCCAGCAGGGTTGTTCCAGTATGGAATTCAACTGGGCATGAATGACCCCATTTTCTACAAACCATAGGGTGGGTAAAAGGGCAGTGCCCCTCTACAGAAGTAACTTCTTACCTTGCTGACCTAGAAGTGGTGAACCTAGTCCCATGGAAGTCAATGGAAAGATTCTCATTGAGTTCAGTGAGAGATGAATCAAGCCTATGGGTGAAATTCACCTCCATGCCAAGCTTAGTGCTTACGTATGTCCTCTCTACGGGATGAATGCTCTCCTATGTGTATAAATCCTAATGCATCAAGATAACATTATATCTGAAGTGTAAAATATGCATTCTATATTTCCTAAAAACGGTCAGTGGTGTGACACTGTGTGAGTGTCTATGCCTGATGAGGTTTTTTTTAAGCCATCAGAGAACTATAGCAGAATATAACAAGCTAGTGTTGAAGCTGATGGAAGGTATTTTTTTGCCATACAGCATATAAATATCTTTAAACATAAATTTTCACATTAAAGCAAACTTGAAATCAGAACGTTTTGTGCATTTGTACAAAAAGCAATTTACTTTTCTTGTGATTTCCTGTATTTCCCTTGCTACTATTGGTAATTCAGCATATCTGTGATGAGTTTTCTCCATCACACTCTAGCTTCTGTTTTATCCTCCAATGGAATCATAATCCTTTGTTTCCAATATTCACATTTTATTGGATATCTACACTTTTTGAGGTTAACTGTAGCTCAACACCTTTGTGGTTTGCTAATCACTACTTATGCACTACCATATACTACTATGTATATATGAATCAGGGTGGTTTACTCCTTGATTTATGAATCCAAAGTTTTCCAGGTTGTCAGAAATGCACCTGATATCTGAGTACTTGAAAAGTGAGTATAGAATCACTTTTCCATTTGATTCTCCAATACTGCAAAAAGTGGGGCAAAAGTCTTGTAGCCAAGTAGATTCTTCACACACCTTCCCTGTTTTTGATACATTAAGTTATCTGCATTTATGCTTAGGAAATGAATTAGAGAGACACCTGTTTCAGAGGGTAGCTTAGAAAGATCTTCAAGGCTTGTTGTAAACTGCCCACTTTTGATCAAACTCTGCTCTTATTTTTATGATCTGAAACTGTATTTTCAAGAGTTCAGTTCTAATTTAGAGACCTAAATTAAGTGACCAGATTTTCAAAAGTGCTCAGAACCCAGCAGCCCTATTGGTTGTCAAAAGTACTGAACAGTTTTGAAAATATGCCTATTTCATTTAGGTGCCAAAATAGAAGCTGCTCGTTACTCAGCTCTTTTTGAAAATCTGGCCCCTATGCTTTTGAGAGAGACACACAATTACAGTGGACCACATCTTGAATATGGAAGGTGATATAAATCCTTTTGGTTATTCAGGGAGATGGGGCCATCTAAAGAGAGAATTTGGCACTAAACAAACAGTGCATATTAGAAATCTTCCAAACCATAAATACGTATTATGAAAATGAAGATACACGTTGAAAGAACTGTCAGAAATCACATCACTGGGTTTTTATTTCTTCATATTATTAATCCCCATTTCCTTACTGACAAGTCTCTGCTGCTGTGATCTCTTTCCTGACAACTCTGTCAAATGTAAAGCTCTTTAATGATGAAAAGTGCTATATAAAGAACTAAGTAGCCTCCGATTGTCACGTACTGTACTACCCCCCCCTTGCTCTAGGATTTCAGATCAGAGACTCCAGAAGTTTATGATGCTGCAGGTGGCTCGTATCTAATAGAAAATAAAGGCAGTGTAAACAGTAATTTATCAATATGGAATATGGCGAATGTATCTATATATACTTTTATTAGGTTTTTTTATATTGCTGATCACTGCACAGATAAGTTAGGTCTTCATAGCAAGGTCCCTAAGGGATTTCAAGAGTCTTTGGCTTTTCTCCCTTCCCTGGTACGGAAACCTCTGCTTTTGCTTCTTTCCTTCTCCCCCTCTCCCATTAATTTTGTTATGGTGGGAAAGTTTTGTCAAAGAGAAATGTCTTGCAGCACACCCGGAAGGTGGCAAGACCCTGGTGTAGGGCAGCTCATTCCACAGCCAATCCCCCTCATTGTAGACCTATTTGTCTGTGGCTGCCCCATGGTGTTGTGAACTGTATTGTCCCAGAGGAGCACAGCTGTCTTGGTGAGTGGTGGATGGAAACGTAGTCGTTGATGTAGCTGAGTCCCGACTTGTTGATGGCTCTGATGATCAGGACGAAAGCCTTGAACTATCAACAGCAGCAGATTAGGAGCGAGTGGAAGGATCGGTGCATAGGGATAAGGTGAGAAACACAATATGCACAAGCTGGAACCTCAACGTTGATGCTACCTGGGGATCCAGAGACAGTGAATCATAGTCCCCATCTGGCAGTAAGAGGTGAAGCTTCTTAGTGAGGCATTTTTCAATATCACTGATGCCAACTGTTCTTCTAAGCTGATTGCTGTTTTGAACAGGACCGTGAGGGTTCTCACCAATTTGAAGAATAGGAGACGGGACATACGGACCCTGGCTAGTTTTTCAAAGAGTTTATTCAGTTTTGCCCAGATTATGTGTGAGCCAACTACTCTTCAACCAGGAGCTGCTCTCCTCTAGGCATGGTGACATCTTCATGATGGTGTTGATTGCAGCTGGGTGTTATCAATGTATTGTTGGCAGCTCAGTCTATGGCCTCTCACCACATCTTCCAGGGAGTCTCATTTCGATATTCAAGAGGGCAGGGACAAAGTAGCTCCCAAAGGGTCTCCATAAGCGAGGGCGATTGAGGAAGCAAAGCTCTTGCCTATTACCGTACTTTTAGTCCCGTTGGAGAGGAATGACTGTACCAATGCTAGGCCTTCTATTCCAGCCTTGTCCTGCAGAAAGGCCAACAGAAGAATGTGAATGACTGCATTATAAGTTGCTTAGAAGTCAAGTAGTATGAGCTTTTAGATGGGGACTCCTTCCTTGGCCATAAGAAGGTCCTCTTTTAGTGCTGCTAGGGCTGTCTTCATGCTTTGCTGTATGGCCATGTGAAGTATAATTGGGGAGCATCCAGGATGTTGGCAGATGCCATGTGATGTTGGAATGTGGTTGCCAATACTGTCTGAATGATCTGGAAATGGGAAGTGAGCAGCAGAGTTGTAGTAGGGGAGAGTATACTCTGATTGTGGTTTTCGGGGGGAAGACTGTTACATTTTTTTCAGGGAGGTTAGCATGTTTACTTCTCTAAAGAAAGTGTCTGGTTTCTATTAGCAACGGGCATAGTTATAATAATGTAACTATTTCTGTGTAGCTTTTCAGTGCTATTTTATCACAGTACTGTATTTGTTTAGTACTACCAGAAACGTTCCTGACTTGCAGATTTCCCATATATCTTTTCAAACAACTGTAGCTAATCCTTTAATTTCAGTAAGAACTCAGTGACCTTTGCCATTTAGCAGCCTCTTCTGAACCATTTTATTTAGATTTGGAAGGGCAAGAGCATTAACTTAAAATCAGATCATTGTAAGTGAAATCTACATAGCTTTTCAACATACATCAGAAACTGGTAAATAACATCAAATATTTACAGGAGTATTTTATGATAGAATGTAATCTGAATCTATATTTGCATTTGTTAGCAGATTACCAACGTGATGTTTAAAGCCATTTTTGGTGTATGCCATGAACAGTCATTTTTACATAAATCTGCTCATAAATTAAATCATGTTTAAAATATTATATATAATATTGAAGATGGTGACATGAATGAAAAGAGTGTGTCAGTTATTTAGCTGTGTTTAAGTTATGAGTCAGAGATTATCAATGCTCAGCAAGATCTGTTTGTATAATTTTCTGAAGGTCTGTTTTGATTTCTGTAGACATTATTTTAGTAGGGTGAAATTCACCCCTATGCAGAAGGTCCGTGCAGCATTTAAATCTCCCTAAAGTCCTCATAATAGGTCTTAAATGGGACTTAATTGATGCATAGGCCTTGGGCTGAGCCCTTGCACAGATCTGAATTTCATTTTTAGCTATTAATAGTCAAGCAACCAGTTGTCTGGTGTTAGAAAACAAGCACATGCAGGATTGCCAACTCTCAGTTTTATTGCAAGTTTCGTGGTACTTTTTCTCCTTAAAGCAGCAGCTCTGTGATCATATCAGAATCTTTTCTTCCATTTAAAAAATAAAAAAAGCTTCTAGCCCTCCGGGTTGCCGAGAAAAGTTCAAAATGTGAACGCTAATGACTCAAAGCCCAAAAGGCAAATAAAAAGAACCCCAGGTTTGTTTGTTTGTTTTTCAATCTCATGATTTTTCAGGGACTGACTCATGATTTTTGAATGCTTGGGTTAGTATGCTGGAAAGCTTCAGGGTATTTCTTACACACAGAGTTGATAACTAGTCCTAAAGCTCTCCATTGGAAAGACTGGGATTCTAGAAACCTAAATCCTCTTACTGCTGTTGCCCATTTAATTTTCTTTTCAAATTGCATGCAGAAGCCCTATTGCCAGTTTTCAACTAATTGCTAATAAGTGGCAACGTGACAGATAGAAAAGGCTCATATTTGGGTACCCTAAGCCAACAGTGGAAGAATAAAAAACGAAAGCACTTCGACTTTGTTTAGAACTCTTCACACTGTCTCTGTCTTTTCCAATTATTATCTCTTACTCCATTCAGGATACTCACATCAGCCAAATGTGTTCATATTTCTATAGCAAGATTAAACCAATTTGCATTTTATGAATTTGAAGAGATTAATTATACGTTCCGATTTGCTTGTATTTTTAGAAATACTTTATTAATGAGAAAATAATACTCCATTCTATATCAGGAAACTGGGACATTTTAATGCATGGGTTCTTCCAGGGGGCATGTGGGGGAAACTACTGAACATTGTAAATTACTGAGGCTCATCATCAGTAGAGCCCTGGAATGAATTCCATCATTAGCCTTGCCGTGAGTCATATAATTGTTTGGTGCCCATAGTGAGGCATATGGATGTAATACAGCCATGGTTTTTATGTAGAAACTTGTAGCCGTTCAACTGTCTTTGTCATGCACCACTTGAAAAATTCTGTTCTTCCAAAAAAAAAAAACCCACCCCAAAAAACAGTAGCAACAATTGAATGGGGGAAAATGGATCTAATTCATAGCCAGTTTATACTCATTAACATGGCTGTTTTACTAGGCCTATGGAGGGGAAGGAGGTTAAATGGAATGAAAAGAATGTTGGTACATGATAAAACATCAGATTAGGAAATAATGCATCAGATTGTTACATAATTTCTGCTGTGTCACAGCCTGATGCCTCAGAATTAAAACAAAAAGTCAAAGCCTGCCAATGACAAAATGTTTGTGTTACTGAAGCTTATGAGTAATACCCTGTTGACTGGTGTCTGGATTACTTCTGGACAGTTGGCACATCTAGTTGTGTACATTAATTTTGAAATAGAATTCAGCCAACAGCTACACCAACATTCTGCATGAACCATCGCTGTTTTTCTATAAACAGTAGTATAGCAATTAAGGAAGCTGTGATTTAATGGCTAAGGATGGGCAAATCTCAGAAAGAGATCCAGGATTTGGGGTTGGTTTGGAGAATCATTGAGAAGCTGGGCTGCTTTTCTGAATCAGCAATATTTGGGCTGAAAAATTTCACAAGCAAGGCTTTATCTTGCAAATTTACTAGCAATGCCATTCCTGGTCCTAACTGAAAACAGTACGAGAACAAGCTTTCTCTTGCTTGGAAATTGGTGGTGAAAAAAATATTTACCTGCATATTATATACTCCCAAAGGGTTTGACTCTAAATATGGGGAAATGTTTAGGGGGAGGAAAAGGGGGATCCAAACTAGTTTGCCCATCCCTGCTTCTTGATACTCTCTGACAGTCTGACCTGACCAAAGCTCTCTGTGATCCCATTCAGATGCATCTCTTATGTCTTGGTTGTGCAGGCCAAGGTACGAGAGCTAGAGGAGAAATGTCGGACGCAGAGCGAACAGTTTAACCTCCTCTCCAAGGAACTGGAGAAGTTTCGGCAGCAAGCTGGAAAGATTGATCTCTTGAGCAGTAACTCGGTGGCATCCTCAGATGTCCTTGGCTCCCCTAGTAAATCTCTGTCCCAGTTAATGAACGGAATAGCCACCTCCATAGGCAGAGGTAAGAACTGACACTTTTATTTGAAGGAATTTGCTGATTGGGGGTCAAATTAAACCCTCATGTAAACAAATCCCATTAATGGCAATGGGATTTGCTTGTGTGTGAGAGAGCAGTATTTGGCCCTGATTCAGCTGTATGCCTTGGGGCCATTTCTGAGTAGCTCTCTGACGTCATTGGAATTACAGTGGATTTACTGAGATTTAATGTAACTGAGAGTAAAATTTGACCTAATGATCATTCCTCATTATTTGTGAAAAAACTCCCCTTGGGAAGCTTGTCTTGAGTGTCAGAGATCAAGAGCAGTTCGTAAGCCAGTATAGGCCACCACTTGTGTGGCGGTCCCCTGGCTGGATTGTCTGTGGGAACTGATCACAGGACCTCTGGGTATAGGTCCTTGCATTGAAGGAGCTGTCCCGCTAGCTTGGAGATAGCAGTAGACTGTAGGGAGAGCAGAGACTCACCCTGACTTAGTGTTGGTTACATTTGCTTTTTCCCCCCTCTTTCCTTCTATGAAAGGAATCTGTCAGTAGAAAGGATTGAAAACTGAAGGTGTTCTGTGGAAAATTTCAACAAAAAAGAAAATATTTTCTTTTTAGTCAAAACTTTCAGCAGAAAATTTGAACTTGTGGAAAAAAACCCACAAACCTGATGGGAAAAAAAAACAAAATATTGAGGAAAGCAGACTCTTTCCACAAAAAATATTAGTTTTGATGAAAACTCAGTTTTCCATTCAAAAAGCTTGGATGGAATACTTTTGAGAAGCCCTCCATGCAAATAACATCTGTTGGGTCTTTACTTTTCCCTAGAATGTTGATTATACTTAACAGGATGTGGTCAGTTTAGTGATGATGGATGGATTAAAGAGCCATTTTAACCACAGTGAAACTTGACTGAAAATGTCCCTTTATTTTAATTTAAAAAGAAGGTTAAAAACAAGGTTCTAAATGAATGCATTTAATTTAAAAATAAGGAAGATATGTTTAAATATGCTCCATTCTCATTGTGCCTATACTTACAATAATAATAATTATTACCTAACTTTTATACAGTGGTTTTCTGCAGTATATCTCAAAATGCTTCATCAGGGAGGTCCGTATCATTGTCTCTTTGTTTACTTTGTTCCCTTCATTGTGTGTTTCCCAAAGAGGCATGTTGAACTTTTGCCAGGTGATTTTTCTTTTTGCCAAAGGCGGCGACTCCTTGTGACTAGTTGAGTTTGCTCACTGCCGATTATGCATAAGCAATTTTCAAAGACTGAGACAGTATCATTGGTCAGGAGGTTATCTGAGGATACTTGGAAGGGACCAAGAATATAGATTCCATCCAGCTGCCTGACTATCAGGGCTTAAAAGTAAGGTTATTATGCTTACAGTGCCTAGCACAAGAGAACCCTGGTCTTTGGATGGGGCCTCTAGGTACTATGGCAATGCAAATAATTAAATATAATGCATAAGCAGTGACATTTGTTCTCTATCATAGTCTTTCTTTCTTTCTTTCTTTCTTTCTTTCTTTCTTTCTTTCTTTCTTTCTTTCTTTCTTTCTTTCTTTCTTTCCAATTAAGGAATTGGAATGAGCTGCAATTAAGTTAACAGGCCAGATCGTCAGCTGGTGTAAATCGGCATAGCCTCATTGAAGTCAATGGAGCTACACCAGTTTACACCAGCAGAAATTCTGGCCCCAAACATCTCCTGATTTCGTTTGGTGGATTTTGTCACAAGGAAAACTACATACTTGAAAAGAAAGAAGGATCTGTCAGTGGAGGCATTTTCCATAATGCAAGGGAATAAACCAGTTAAAAAGGAGGAGGAGAAAAAAAATCAATTCTGGACAATTGGTGCACTGACATTTGGGGATCGATAACACCCCAAACTGTAATGTTCGTCAGGCATCAGTGTGAGATACTAACATTGCAATAGAATGCTCACAGCTGTTGCGTTGCTGTGAGATAATTTTTCGTTGTTTTATCAGGCTTTGAGGATTCTTGAACAATTGCTTTATAATAAATATGAAGAGAAGCTGGAAAAGTAAAATAGATTTGCGTTTTGTATTTCATCTTCCTGAGTTTCTAAGAAGGGGCTTGGGGGTACCCATTTTTTATCGTCAGGAAAAGTACTGTGATTCACAAATCATTTCTCTACCACTGCAGATAAGCAACTGTATTCATCGAAGGCTGACAAACTTGATGTGAAACCAAGTCAAATGGAACAAGAAGACTTTCTTTTTTCAGTTCACTTCAGTATTTTCTTTAGAGATGGTGGGACATTGTGATTTTTCTTTAACACAGAAGAGACATGTTTGCAATCTCACTCATTGTGCTGCATAATGGTTTATAGCAGGGGTTCTCAAACTGGGGGTCGGGACCCTCAGGGGTCGTGAAGTTATTACATGGGGCGTCGCGAGCGGTCAGCCTCCACCCCAGACCCCGCTTCACCTCCAGCATTTATAATGGTGTTAAATATATAAAAAAGTGTTTTTCATTTATAAGGGGGGTCGTACTCAGAGGCTTGCTATGTGAAAGGGGTCACCAGTACAAAAGTTTGAGAACCACTGGTTTATAGGCTTATGTGTGTCTAGAGCACTCCTACCAAACTGGGTGAATTAGAAGGAAAACTCAGAATACCATCTCGTGGTGTCAATGGGAGCTTTGTCATAATAAAGATTGCAGGATCAGGCCCTCAGTGTCAAATAGTAACTGTAAGGATGGGATTTTCAAAGCAGCAATTAATTTTAAAGGGACTTAGGCCTGGTCTACACTGTGGGGGGGGGGGTCGATTTAAGTTACACAACTTCAGCTATGTGAATAACGTAACTGAAGTAGACGTACTTAGACCTATTCACCGCGGTGTCTTCACAGGGGCAGATAGGGGTCAGCAAAAGGAGTAACTGGAGCATGATGCACTCCAGCGATCCCCAATTAGTAGGAGCTGGTGCAGGTTAGAACAGCCCCTACAACCAGAAAGTCATAAGTAGCTCCCTAATGCTGCCCACCCCCCTCTTCCCTGCCACACCCCTCCCTCTTCCATCCACTGTAATGTGGACTCAGCAAAAAAAAATTGACCCTGAGAGAAAACAATGACTGGAGGAAGGGGGTGAGGGGAAATTCAGTTGAGTTAAATAACCTACAGCCAGACTATCAGAAAGTTGGAACCCTTTTTCACTCTAAAGTTAATATTATCAAAACACTGATGTTCCTTGCAGGGCTGGCTCCAGCGTTTTTGCCGCTCCAAGCGGCGGGGGGGAAAAAAAAGCTGCGATTTTTCACACCTTTCCATGCCTATTTGCTGTTATTATACCAATTCATTCAAAACAGTCTGCACTTTCATAATGGAGATATCCCATCTCCTAGAACTGGAAGGGACCTTGAAAGGTCATCGAGTCCAGCCCCCTGCCTTCACTAGCAGGACCAAGTACTGATTTTGCCCCAGATCCCTAAGTGGCCCCCTCAAGGATTGAACTCACAACCCGGGTTTAGCAGGCCAATGCTCAAACCATTGAGCTATCCCTCCCCCCTTCAGAAAGGATCTCAAATCATGGATTCAGAATGATGCATTCTGCTATGAGAAGCCCCTGGGAAAGGTCCTTTGTGTTGCGTAACCTTTAACTAGCGCTGTTTGGAACACTTTTGCTGAAATGTTGCGTGGAGATGTATCTTTTTTCCACATTTTTTTCAGGAAGGGGTTGAGGGTTTTGGGATGAGGCAGAGCAGGGGAGGGTGGGAGACAGATTATTTCTCGCTGCAGGGCTAGGGCACTGGCCTGGGATGTGGGAGACCCAGGATCACATCTCTGCTCTCCCTGATTGGCAGTGATCTGATATGAAAAACTGCGGAGAATCAGGCAGAGCAGTGACTTCAACCAGGATTTTCCACATCCCAGGCCAATATCCTCACCTCCGGGAGACATATACACACTGTTGTCCTCCAGTGAATTCTGTCGTTAATCCTTATCATTATTACTGTTACTTTTCAGACTACTAGGCTGAGGGGAAGGATGTATGTATTCCTGGTCTCCAATGAGTTCATAAATGGAGAAGCATCCATATTGGACCAAAAACTCCTGGTACTTATTGTGGTGCAAACCAAGTGACACCACTGGCGTTGCACCAGAGTGAGAAGAGAATTTAACTTGCAATCCCAACATATTCTGGTTGTAAAATTAGTCTTAGTTACAGATGCAGCATACTTAATCCAAAGGGGCTGGCTTTTTCTATAGAACTTCAGGAGCAAGAGATTTCAAGAGGCTTACAACATGTTTCATATACGAGTTTCAATTTGCCTTTTTGCTAAGATGTTGATTGTTATTAGTGAAGTCGTTTGCACTTACGGTGGCTTTTTATAAAATCTCTGCTGAAGTAAAAAAAACATAAAACAGCTCTACATGGTTGTTAGAATTTGGACAAATTGAGACACTTTATTTAAAAATAAGTAATCATCGCCTTAAACAGCAACAACAACAAAAAGAATGGTTTCCATTGTGCAAAGTCCCAGTAGCTAACAACTAACAATCTACACTGTAGCTAGCCCATAGTTCGTTCTCACCTTTTTACCTAGTATGGTATAGTACAGGGGTCAGCAACCTCTGGCATACGGCTCGCCAGGGTAAGCACCCTGGCGGGCCGACCCAGTTTGTTTACCTGCCACGTCCGCAGGTTCGGCTGATCGCGGCTCCTACTGGCCGCAGTTCGCCGCTCTAGGCCAATGGGGGCAGCGGGAAGCCGCAGCCAGCACATCCCTCGGCCCGCGCCGCTTCCCGCGGTCCCCATTGGCCTGGAGCGGCGAACCGTGGCCAGTGGGAGCTAAGATCGGACGAACCTGCAGACGCGGCAGGTAAACAAACTGGCCTGGCCCACCAGAGTGCTTACCCTGGCGAGCCGCGTGCCAGAGGTTGCCGACCCCTGGTATAGTATCTTGGAAATAGAGGGATGGATTTAAGCTGGTTCAGGTAATCGCTTTTATTATAGTCCGAGATGGAAGACGCCCTGTAGGGCTAAGAGCACGGGGAGGAGGGATTTCTTCAGGAACAGCTGCTGTCATTTCACAAATTCTTGGATAGGAAGTTAACAGCTGATGGCACTTGTTAAAGGAGGGGAGAAATGATCTTGCAGATGTAGCTGAATGAGAAGGGGGAATTGAGAGGGAAGTGACATTTCAGGAAGCAGTAAAACAGGTTTGGAAACCAAATCCATCTTGAATGGTTGGAATTGCTGCTGAAGTGTCCTCCTATGCCACTTTGCACTTACCTAGGTAGGAAAACATCATTGTCCCCATTTACAGGTGGAGCAAATGAGACACAGAAGGGGTAGGAGTGATTTTCCCAAGGTCATACACCAAATCAGTATCAGAAGTAGGATTAAAACTCAGCCTCTTGCCTCTCAGGTGCATGCCTAATCCAATATATTGAAGTGAACTCAAGGCAAGTTACTTAGTTTCTTTCTATTTGCCTCTTTCTAAAATTGAGTAGTAATTCTTCTCTTTTCTCCCCCGCCACCACATTCAGTCCCTTGCTCAGTCCTGTCACTTCTTCCTCTCCGTTACCAAAACCCACATTACCTTCCTGTCCCTCATGGCTAAAATCCTTGTCCATGCCTCGATCATCTTTTGCCTTGACTGTTGTGATCTTTCCTCTTCTCTTACCTCCCTGCTTCTCACCTCTCCAGTCTGCCCAAAATGTAGCTGCTAATGTCCTCTGCTGCTTCAACCACATCATCTGCATTTGCATCTCTCTGTTCTCCACTGAATCAAAGTCAAGCACCATGTCCTGACTTTCACAGCCCCCATAATTTAGCCCCCCCCCTTAATCTTGGCACTTATTCCCACCTCCCCTGTTTACTCCCTCTCTCTCTCTCTATGCTTTTCCCGATCCTTTTGCCTTTTACCTCATGCTTCCACGCTCAGCCTTGGACCTTCTATCGGGCTGCTCCTTGTTATCTCCTGCTCCTTTCTCCTCCTTCATATACCTCCTTAAAATGTACTTCTTCCAACATCCCTTCCTGAGTTCCCCATCAATTCCCATGACATGAACCATGTTCCAGGATCTTGCTTTTGTGTTGTTCTGTCTGATCTAATGTAGGCTCAGATTCTGGCCAGTCCCCTATATGGGGAACACAGCAAGGGGTAGGGTGTCGAAGAAACTTTCCATTCTGGTGCCCGGGAAGAACTCACACTGCAGTGGATATAACAAAACTGAGGAAAATCCAATAGACATGAGCCTCAGAACTGGTTTCCTTTTAATATATTGTAGCAGTTGGAGCAATTATCTGTAGACTCTAGAATGACAGTCTGGTGTGGCAAACACATTAACAGTGAACGGAAGGAGCCAAATTAGCTGCCGGTTTCTGAAAGGAGATCGTTATTCTATTAAAAGTATGAGAGAAATTCCAAAAATAAAAAATGTGCCCTTTGCCAGTGTGGAGATGGCTGCAAGTAGGACTGGTTGCAATAAATCTTTTGTATGGCCTTGAATAGTTCCCTGCGGTCAATGTGCTTAAGCTGCTGCGCTATAAAATTAAAGTGGTGCAGAGAGAATGAATCAAGTTGGACCAAGGAACATACCAACAAACCCTCTGACAATGTCTTTTTGGAGCTCAGCCTCCTCTGCGGTATAGTGGATGATTCTTAGTGGCATGTAACAGGGGGAAGCAGGCACTTCAAGATCAAAACACCACATTTCAAACTCCTAGCACAATTGGAGGGGAGCTGCCGACCTCACACGGGACCAGGACTTGAAAATAAGAGCATGGACTAGTTGTGTTAAAAAGAGAGGAGAGGAAGGCTGAGAAATCTGATTGGGGCAGCAGTGCCCCAAATTTTTTGCTGTGGTTTTGCTACAGCTGCTGCTGCTTCAGATATAATTAGCCCCAGCTTGCGATTTCCTGCTTTCTTACTTGTGGTTCCAGAGGAGTAGTATGACTGGTGAAGGAAAACATAGGGTAGCATTTTATATTCCACGTTTACCAATCCCCCTTGCAGCCTGGGGTAGCACGTTTTTTAAAAGCATATTTCACAAGCCTGTAGAGCTTGATCCTGGGAATACAAAGGACTCTTAATGTCACTAGGAGTTCAGGCTGCTTAGCATCTGGCAGGATCGGGTCTCTTATTCCTTTAGCGGTATGGTGTATTTTATCTTTTGTTGGCATCATTTTTATAATCAGAAAAAAATGTTCAAAGTGTCTCCAGAATTTTCTCCTTTTTTCCTTAATGTGTCTCCTGCATTTTTTAGAAAGTTTAAGGATTGTGTTTGTGACTTAGAATATGGACTGTGGAACAAGAAACCCCAATTCTAATTCTACTCTGCCACTGATATACCATCTAGCACTGGGCAAGACACTTACCCGACATTGTTACCTGATCTGCAGAATGGAGATGGTAGGACTTGCTGTTCTCTGGCAGTGAAAAGATCTTAAATTGGGTATATATTTTCACTTAGGGCTGGTCTACACTAGGGGGGATCGATCTAAGATACGCAACTTCAGCTACAAGAATAACGTAGCTGAAGTCAACGTTTCTTAGATCGATTTACCTTGGGTCCTCACGGCGCTGGATCGACGGCCGCAACTCCCCCGTCGACTCCGCTTCTGCCTCTCGCTCTGGTGGAGTTCCAGAGTCGACGGGGAGCGTGTTCGGGGATCGATTGATCGCGTCTAGACCAGGGCCGGCTCCAGGTTTTTTGCTGCCCCAAGCACACACAAAAAAGCCGGAGTGCCGCCCCTTGAAAAGGGCCGCCCCAAGCACATGCTTGGAATGCTGGTGCCTAGAGCCGGCCCTGGTCTAGACGAGATGCGATAAATCGATCCACGATAGATCGATCCGGCGGGTAGTGACGACATACCCTTAGGTTAAGGCCCTTTGCACATCCACAGTGACGTAAAAGTGCCTTATTGTAAATGAGGATTAGGACCAGTAGTGCGTACCTATCTCCCACAGGGTATTGAGCATTAATTAGTTAAAACTTTTTAATGCAAGTGCTAAGCTAAATATTATTATTGCCAATAAATAGACGGTATTTACAAGCAGGCTTGTGGTTTTTTTTCATGCCAACATGAAAAATAATCTTAGCATGTGTGTGAAACTACTAGAACACATAGTCATCTCATATAGTAACCTTTTCTCTTTTCCAACTGGTTGGTAAAAATTGGGAGCTGATTCATGTTTATTTGCTCCTTAGCTCTGATCTTGAAATTAAAATGTCTTCACATTCCCTATAATTGTCCATTAGAAGTTTTTTGGGACTTTTAATCCACTGAACAGGTACAGAATGGGAAGTGGCAATGGATGCTTGCTCTATGCTACCCTTTGTCAGCCCCTCTCTAGAGGGGCCATTAATAGGGGTCAGATGGTTGTTCACACCTTGTGACCCATTCAGCATGTGATGCCTCTGCCGTGACTGCTAACCAGGTTGCCACTTTGTACCAATTATTGTTTTTTTATTTACGGGTAGGTAACGAAAGCCCCTCTGGAAGTCGTTGTGTGATTTCGGAGTTTATACGACCCCTGCAGATATCTGGTGACAAACCAGAACAGTTGTCCGTCAAACCTACTTTTCTGTCCAGGTCAAGATCCGGCAGCCCAAGATGCAGATTTGATTCAGACGTGAGTCTTTTTAAGTTGGTGACATTGGGAATGTGTTTGATCGGCCAGAGCCTTCCTCCTTCACTGGGACAGGTGTGCTACACCTCAGTGTTTAACTGCACTTCCAAAGAGTCAAAGGCTGGGATTTTCCAAAGCACTCAAGTGATTTGGAAGCATAAATAATGAGATTATTGTGCATCTAAATCACATGGGGGGTTTGAAAATCCCACCTAGGCAACCTGACTGTCTTGCATTCTTGTTGTTTATTTAGTCCTTGTGAAATGTGTCACATTTTTGTCAGTCTTTTTTGTGCCCATTAGTGTGCTAGATTGACATAAATCCTCTATTCACAGGACAGATAATGCATCTGTAAGAGCACTATTCCACCCGATGCCCTGCCAATGTGCCTCAGCTCTGTTCTAAAAAGGCAACTTCTAGGTGTGAGAAGTGGATCATTCTCTTTGAGCTGTTCTTTGCTTGGTTTTCATGATGTGGAAATCCACTCATTAGTAACTGGAATGATATCGCCACCTGGACCAGTTTCTAGGGTACCATTCTTAGCTGAATTTGAACCTGTAAACTGGAGAATCCCCTCAGCCATTCAGCTTCCTAACATATCTGCATTTATTTGCAGTTTTGGAAAAATTCAGCAGAGATATTCACAATATTTTATTATTGCTAATCTTTGCACATCTCAGGGCTAGCAGGAGGAAAGCCACTGAAGCACCATTCAAGTTCTTCAGTGTACTTGATTATGACTCCTTTTCCTTCATCTCATCATGTGCACAGTCTCAACACCCACATACAAAACTCCTATAGACTTGAATAAGGATGAAACCCAAACGCCTCTTGTAGAAATGGTATAGGGTTCTATAAAAATGCTCTTAAATCCCAATCAAATTTAATAGAGATTAAGGTCCTATCTATAGGTTTCCTTAATCAGGCTATAGAATTCTATCAGTGGGATCTCATTATCTATTAAAAACATATATGGGATGCTTTTTTAAAAAAAATCTATTAAAAAAATCCATTAAATTCTGTAAAACTGTTCCATGAGGGCAAACAGAACTAGAAAACAACGAGGGTTGGAATGATATTTTATTGGATACAGTCCTGATTTTTCCCTCTGTCAAACATTTTAGAAGTAAATAGCCTGAAATTGTGTTCAGATGCTGTGGCTATAACATAGGGATTGCTGCTGAACCCCAGGAAGTTGAGTGCATCAAAATGCTTGTGGACATCACTAAAAATCAAAGTGTAATACAGGATATTCTACAAAAGAATTAGATTCCTACTAGCTTCTACTAATATGCTACTCAATAGCCACATCTCGGGGTCTGTTGACCAAGAAACACATACAGATAAACTCTTAATACCATTACTGGGAGGTGTGAGCATCCACTGCTTCGTGAATAGACTGCATCAAGAGCAGTGAAGCCAAAAAAGGCAGCATAGCAACCAAATTTAAGGAAGCAGAACTAACAGCACAGAACAGAACAAGTGCATGTCAAATGTAATCCCCTTCTTCTATTATTTTTCAGTTGTCTCTCACTGAGAATGTCAAGCAGTTTTTACCTGAATTGCTCATTATTTGCCTTGCTGAGTGTAATTCTGTGGTGCCTACGTACCTCTCACATACACACGGTAGTTTAGTTACAGACCAAGGTACCGTATCTAGTATCCAAGGAGAAAAGTATATAAATTACACCTTCAGGAAATCAGCCTTTTGAAATATAAAATCTGAGAGTGGTACTTGCTGTTGTAATTTCTGACATCAAAAGAGAGCACAGTCCATTCCACAAAGACATCCCCAGAACTTCCAGGATGGTTAGTAAGAATACTGGCTCTGCTCCTACTGTAATCATTATGGGCTGAGTTGTGAGCCCAGCTGCACACATCTATGCAGGGAGTCAGGGGTCACAAGGAGCCTCCATACACCACTATACAGGCTATGCACATCACCAGTGCCAACGGCTACTCCCATTCCCATATGGTGGGCGACGAGTAGGCAGGCAAGCATGGGGAGTGTCCAGAGTCTTGGTTGTGCCCACCAAGAGAGCAGCCCAGTTACTTGCACCAGCCTTTTTGCTGGAGCACATTGCTTCATAACTCGAACTAGGGGGCAGCAGGAAGTAGAGCAGGGGTAGGCAACCTATGGCACGCGTGCCGAAGGCGGCATGCAAGCTGATTTTCAGTGGCGCTCACACTGCCCGGATCCTGGACACCGGTCCGGGGGGCTCGGCTTTTTAATTTAATTTTAAATGAAGCTTCTTAAACATTTTAAAAACCTCATTTACTTTACATACAACAATAGTTTAGTTATATAGTATAGCCTTGTAGAAAGAGACCTTCTAAAAACGTTTAAATGTCTTACTGGCATGCAAAACCTTAAATGAGAGTGAATAAATGAAGACTCGGCACACCACTTCTGAAAGATTGCCGACCCCTCAACTAGAGTGTGACTCCGAATCACAGTCTGGTGCCTGCCCATCTCCTGGATTATAGAGTTCCCATCCAGCCCTATGAAAGCTTCCCTGATTGACTCCACAGCCTAACATGGTACTTCTGTTTTAAGGAGAAGTTGCCATCTCAGTTCTTCTAGAGGTGTCTAGCAAATCGTAGAACAGAGGACAGTGAGAAATGTATCCCTCCTTTACGAACTCGGCCCAGCATCAAGCAGGAGAGACCGAGTTTTTATTATTTCAGTACACTGAATTTCAAGAATGTATCTGATGCAGATCCAAAATACATGGGACCTGTTTATGTGGACTCAGCAATACAATTTAATCACTAGGCTTTCTACTCATTAATTCAAGGTGGAGTCAAAATTATGGCTTTGCTATATTGTGCTGCATTAAGCATCATGGTGAATTCAGAGCTAATATGTTTTTCCACTGGGTTAGTGGAGTGAATGGAATTCAGCAGATGGGGACTGGTTTGGGAGAGTTTTATTTGGTGTGATTCTTCAGCTAATACTGGTCACAATTTAAAAAAAATCAATGTTTCCCTACAGTTACAAGTCAATGGTATCTAAGGTACCACAGTTATTTCCTATTCTAACTATAGGGTATCATTATGAGCTAACTGTGTAAATGTTGACATTTTAATGGCAGCTAACGCTGTACACAACGCTAGGTGAATCATTTAGCATAAGTCATCCTGGGGCTAACTTGCTGAAGTTTTAATTAAAATAAAACAGCACACTTTGGATAAATTACTATTCATTATTAGTATACATATTTCTAAATAAAAATGAATTGCTGAAAACCTATATCCGACTCTGTTTCATGTCATCTGAAGTGTTTTGTATGTGTTGCACGTATACCTCTACCCCGATATAACGCAACCCGATATAACACGAATTCTGATATAATGCGGTAAAGCAGTGCTACGGGGGGGCGCGGCTGCGCACTCCAGCAGTTCAAAGCAAGTTCAGTATAACGCGGTTTCACCTATAAGATTTTTTGGCTCCCGAGGACAGCGTTATATCTGGGTAGAGGTGTACTCAGACTAGTTTATATATCCCATCAGGTTAACAATGGGTGCAACAGTATAAATCCTATTGTCTTTATTTCTTTACAGATGGATAATGAACGGAATTCCAATACCTCAAAGCAAAGATATTCTGGGAAAGTCCATCTTTGCATCGCCCGTTATAGGTAACATAGCAGCTGGGGGAAAAAATATAATTCCAAAATTGTGGTTTTTTCACTTTTTTTTTTTTTTCAGATGTAATTAATGTCCAGACCCCAGTCCTGTTCATACACAACTCTAAGTAAAGGGGCGATTCACAGTTGGGTTCAGGGAATTGGACGGAATCCTAACCACACCCTACTTCCACAGCCTGGGCAAATACTGTGCCCCACCTCCATGCAAATAGGTTTGGCTGCTAAATTTGCATCCGCAAAGGCCCCTCCCATATTCATCCCCAAACAACTTCATGATTACAGTGGATGGAGCTCCCCTATGCAAATACAAAGCACAGCTTTGTGGTTCACAGAGAGTGCAGGCTTTCTTGTGCAGGCTTTCCACATCCTACCCCCACCCTCTTGCACAGTGGAACCATGCCGCTTTTTTCATGCCTTTTGGGTTGTACATGCGTACGGACAGATGAGGGCAGGGTTTGCACCCAGGTCATTCTCTGGCCAGCTGGCCTCCGCAAAGGAGGTCAGGGAAGAGCAAACAACATTTGTCAGAAGGGATCCTGCTAATCAGTGTCTTTCTCAGTGTATAAAAAGCTGTAAATCAGCAAAGGGTAGTCTCAGAATGTAAATGATAATATTCTACATTAATTCGGGCTCTGTGTCTGACCATTACAGAAAGGTTTTCAATAGAGACACAAGCCTAATCTTTTAGAAGTGCTTTCTCTGCGCCAGCTTCCTTCCTTCCTGAGAGGAGCAGTGACTGCAAATCAGAGTGTACGCCTGGAATCAGTGCACCTGCACACGGGCTCTCTAGATGGCAAGGGAGCTCTTGTGAAAGTGTGGCTTGTCTGCTGACTGATCTGGGTGTGTTGAGCCCGCTGGCACTCAGTTACTCCTGGGGGAATTCTGTGTGTGCGCAGAATTCATCTCCTCTGCAGATTTCTTTGCTTCCCCAAAGAAAAGTGACTTTCTGACAGGGAAGCAAAGGGAAGCCACAAGAGTGGTCATGCACCACTCCCCAGCAACATGGGTGCCTTGTTTCAGGCACTCGGAGCAGCCAGTGGAGTGGTAAATCACTGGGAAGGAGGACGCCCTGGCCTGTGGCTCCTACCCTGTGCCAGGCTCACCTACTAGTCCTGGCTGGGTTGGGAAGGAAGCAAGTTACTCTTCCCCTGCAAGGAGCAGCCAGCAGACCTGTGGACAGCAATTCCAGGGCCAGGTCCACCCCTGGGGGGCAGGGCCCAGGGCGGAAGTGACAAATGCATCACTTCCGGGACTGACTGTGCTGGCCCACGGGGGCCAGAGCGGTCGCGCATGCCTAGGAGTCCTGCGGCTTGCCGGGGCGATTTAAAAGGCCCCAGGGGTCCTGGCTGCTGCTACCGTGGAAGCGGTGGTGGCCGAGGGCCCCCGGGCCCTTTTAAAATCAGCCAGGCCCCTGGGCAACTGCCCCCTTTGCCCCCCCATCGGTGGGCCTGCTGGCCAGGGCTGGCTCAGACCCACCCCCAAAAACCTGTCTGGCTGCAGGAAGCGCCGCACCCCTCCCTCCCCCGCTTCCTCTGCCGTGGGGGGAGGGGTCACTATACGGGGAGCTGCTCCCCCGTCCACCCAACCCCCTGGCATCCAGATCCACCTCATACTCAGATTGCCCCACCAAATCTCACCTCCTGCACCCAGAACCCTCCACACTGACACCCCTGAATCCATATCCCGACAAGCCTCACCCTCTGCATCTGGATCCCACCCTGCACTCAGACCGCCCCCCACACTCGAACCCCCATCCCAACAAGCCGCACCCTACCTGTACCTGGACCACCCTGAGTAGCCCCCCACACCCACATTCTCCACCAAGCAAGCACCCCGACCTGCACCCCACCAAGTCAGCACTTGAACCCCCCTGCTGAGCCCCACCACCTTCCCCTAGACCCCCCTGCAGGGTCTCATGGTGTCTGCACCCAGAACCACCCCCCAATGAGCCCCTGTTCATCCAGATCTCCCTCGCACCTGGACCCCCCATCAAGCCGCCCGCACCCAGATTGCCCCACACATTACCCTGTCACCCCACATTTGGTTCTCCCTACACTAAGTCCCTCCATACTTGGATCCTGCTGGGCTGAGCCTGTCTGCCTAAATCTGGTGTGATTGGCATGGAGGGGCAGGGCCCCAGGGTGTTTCTGGGACAGCCCTGGTCCTTGCACTGTGTCAGGGTCAGGTGCCACTTTACTGCCGAGTCCATGTCCAGGGGTGGGGGATGCAGGGTGATCTCCTACCTCTGTGCAGTCAGCGGCCTGTGCTCCCCCCGGCCATGCTGGAGTATCCACATTTATTTATTGACAAATAAAATTTGCAGAATTTTAAAATATTGTGTGCAAAATTTTAAAATTTTGGGTGCAGAATGCCATCGGGCGTGCCACTCCCTGATACTGCAAATCTCAGTAAGCAAAGTGTTTTAATACTAAATTTAAGTCTAAATTTCCCCAGAATTAACCTGACTAACAAAGAGGAAGATTCATGCCAGGCTCAGTTCCATTGCAGTGTAATATTCAGTGCACTGCAGAGTTTAGGTGACAGTGCAGAGCCAAGAGGAAGGCAGAACCCATGCTGAGCTCAAATTAAACTCACTTTCTCTAGAGGAACATGATTTTATTTCTGCAACAAGTACTCTAAAGCTCACCCAACTGAAGAAAGTTCCTAAACAAACCAGCATGAAACTAAAAGATTATTAATTGATTAATTAAATGCCTTTATATATCAACTTTAAGTGGCTGCAGTCACACTTGAAGAGCCGGTAGAAAAAGAACAGATGAAGATTGCTTTCTTTGTAGGCTTTAAAAAACAAACACACCCAAACCTGTTGTTGTAGGCAACAGTGCACTTTCCATTTATGCTAGATTTAAAAGAATGCACTTTCCATTGGCTTTTAACATCGGAGCAAGTCTGACATGGCATGATCAACATCTCCAGAACATTTACTTTCAGCGTGGACAATATTTTTTTAAAAAAAGGAAAAGGAACAAACCAGAAAATTGTATTTGTTGTAAATGCCACCAAAAAAAAGGGGGGTGGGGTGGGGTGGGGGAGGACAACATCTCCCAGTGCTAGAGAGGCAGCACGGTGTTGTGGTTAGAGCAGAGGAACTGGGAATCAGGAGACCTAGAACCTGATCATGGTTCTGACACCTCCTCACTGTGTGACTTTAGGCAGGCCCAGAATCCCTTTGGCCCTCACTTTCCTTATATGTATAAATGTGGGTGATGATACTTGCCTACCTCATCAGAGAGGGATTGAAAGGACGCTTCCATCAATGCATGTGAAGTGCTTTCCTGATCCACAGATGGAAGGTGCGGAAGTCCAGCACATGGCCGATGCATCTCTTAAATCCCACTGCCCTTTTTAGTGGACCTCTGCACAGGGGTGAATTTCAACTCCTATGTGGAGTATTCTTATTATTATACAACTTTTTGTGCCTGTTAGTTGCTTCTCATTGATGATGTTTTTATTATAGATCAAATATTATTCTAGTTGCATTAAATGATGCACTCCAGCTTATTTTCAATGCACAGAGACGATTTCAAGGCAATTAAACACACCCGTGTACTTAAATGAAGCAAAACTTAATAACTTAACAGCTGCGAAAGTATAATCAGGGTATGCTTCCCATGCAATTTCAGTCAGCAAGTAAACTCGTGTCTGTAGTTTGCTACAAGCACATCAACATGTCTTCATTTCAAGAGCCAGGAGTCAGTGTGGTGCCCATGGAAATGTGCCTTTTTTATTACCTATGCCATTTTCCTGTGAGCAAAGCTCAAGTAATGTTTATATTGCATTGGCAATGTTGGCTACAAAATAAGGGGGATTTGCCGGGGCGGGGAAGGGGAGAGAGGAAATCTTGTACATTTAAATTGGCTCACAAAGCCATCAGAGTAGCACCATAGATGGTCAGAGTTTTCATTAAACATTAATGAGGTGAGAGTAATTAAATACAATTATTGGCATGAGAGTTTGTGTAAAATAAACAATAAATAGCATAAAGTAACTAGGGATACCATACGTCCGTATTTTCATGGACATGTCTGGCTTTTTAGTTCTTAAATTGCCATCCGGGAGGAATTTTTAAATATCTAAAAATGTCCGGGAAAATACCGGTATGGTAACCCTAGCATGGGAGCTGCCAGAGCCGTGGAGCGGGGCTTGCAGGTGCCGGCAGTGCGCAGAGATCCCTCCGCACCCTCCCCAACCCGACCTGACGAGCCAGAGGTACCTGCTGGGGGGCGAGGTAGGGAATCCCGGTGGTGCTTACCTGGGGAGACTCCCGGGAAGCATCCAGCAGGTCCCTCTGGATCCTAGGGTCGGGTGAGGGGGGAGGGGAGTCACAGAGGCGGAGGGGGTCTCTGCGTGCTGCACCAACTCCCTCCTGCCCAATCAGAGCTGTGGGGGCAGGGCTTGCAGGCGCCGGCAGCGGGCAGAGATCCCTCCGCCTCCCCCCGAACCCGATCCTAGGAGCCAGAGGGACCTGCTGGATGCTTCCTGGGAGCCTCCCCAGGTAAGCATCGCCGGGACTCCTCACCTCGCCCCCCAGGAGGTCCCTCTGGCTCGTCAGGTCAGGTCGAGGTGTGGGGGCTGAGGGTTCTCTATGCGCTGCCGATGCCTGCAAGCCCTGCTCCATGACTCCGGCAGCTCCAATTGGTGCTTTTCCCGGCCAATGGGAGCCATGGAGCTCGCGCTTGTGGCAGGCGCAGCACATAGAGACCCCTCGGCTGCCCCTGATCCTAGCAGCTGAGGGACCTGCGGCAGGAGGGGTGAGTAGGCGAGCGGGGTGGGGTGAAGAGGCGAGCGGTGAGCCAGCAGCAGGTGGCGGGGGGGTGAGTAGGTGGGTGGTGGTGAAGAAGCGAGCGGCGAGGGAGGCAGTGGCTGGTTGGCTGGCGGGCGGGTGAGGAGGCAAGTGGCAGGTGGGGAGGACGAAGAGGCGAGCGGCGAGGGAGACAGTGGCTGGTTGGCTGGCGGGCGGGCGGGTGAGGAGGCAAGTGGCAGGTGGGGAGGTGAAGAGGCGAGTGGCGAGGGAGCCATTGGCTGGCTGGCGGGCGGGCGGGTGAGGAGGGTGAAGAGGGCGAGCGGCGGGGGGCGGTGAAGATGTGAGCAGTGAGAGAGCCAGCAGCGGGCAGGAAGGTGAGGAGGCAAGCGGCGAGGGAGCCAGTGGCTGGCCTGCGGGCGGGTGGGCGAGGAGGTAAGTGGTGGGTGGGGAGGGTGAAAGGGTGAGCGGCGAGTCAGCGGCGGGTGGGGGGTGGTGAAGAGGCGAGCAGCAAGGGAGCCAGCAGTGAGGGAGGAGGGTCAGGTGGCGGGCGGGAAGGGTGAGGAAGCGGGCGGCGAGTGGGGGTGAAGAGGCCAGAGGCGAGGGAGCCAGTGGCAGGCGGGCAGGTGGGCGGGGGTGAGGAGGCAAGCGGTGAGCCAGTGACAGGCGGGGTTTCTCGGGGCGGGCATGGGGGTTTCTGGCAGGGGAGTGAGGAAGTGAGTGGCAGGTGGGAGGAGGCAAGCGGTGGGTGGGGGACTGAGGAGGGACACAGCAAGCCAGCGGCAGTCCAGTGGGTTAGGAGGGGTGCAATGGCAGGGCCAAGAGGTGAGGGGGCGGGACTGGGGGCAGAGCAGGGGTGGACTGTGGGCGGGGCCTGTGGAGTGTCCTCTTCTTTGAATGTTCAAATATGGTAACCCTAAAAGTAACTATGCGTGTATGTGCAAAACAGACAGAGACAGACACGTGCACACCAAAGCAGCTTGTTCGGACTGACTCTTGGGTTATGTCAGAGAGCAATTGCTGCTTTGAAGAGAACACACACACACACACACTGAGCTTTTGCAGGCTAAGGATAACCGTGTTGCTGTGGCTACAGCCTTCAGCATATAGGCTGTCACTCTGGTTTTATTGCTTGAATTTGTTTTAAACAGATTTTCGTTTTTACCTTGTTCCCTTAAGACTGTCTGGGCAATCATTCCACCATCAGGCTGCCATGAATGTTAATAAGCTGTTTATGGGAAGGCAGCACTTGAAACAGTGGACAAGAAGCTTTCTGTTTCCCTTTTGTTGTCATACTCTGCAACATGGAGGGAGGGGGTTGTAAAATCCTTTTCTCCAACATGCTGGTTATGTTCCCCATTTGAACATGAACTTATGCTGTGCTCTGCTGCTAATAATAATAATTAATGGAGATATCCCATCTCCTAGAACTTGAAGGGACCTTGAAGGTCATCAAGTCCAGCCCCCTAGCAGGACCAAGTACTGATTTTGCCCTGATCCCCAAGTGGCCCCCTCAAGGATTGAACTCACAACCCTGGGTTTAGCAGGCCAATGCGCAAACCACTGAGCTATCCCTTTCTCCCCCTGAAAGGGCAGCTACAGTGTATAGCTCCCCTTCTAAAACGCTTTGTTTTGTAGCACCATCTTGTTTTCTCCATGAGCAATAACGTTACCCTAACAAATGGATGGCTATTTTGGAGTTGGTAGTGATAGTGCTAAACACAGAAATTCATGGTATCGTCAAGGATTGAGTTCAGCTCCTCCTGCTGCAAAAGCAGAGCAGGACTGGAAAGGGGGGGGACAGGGAAATGATTTTTATCATTTTATTTATGCACACAGGTGCATCCTGGGGGGTGGGGTTTGAGGCCTGATGCAAAGCCCCATTTGAACGATATCTGTTGACTTCAGTAGGCTTTGTATTGGACCCTTAATGTTCCCTTAATCCTGAAGTTCTGATGGATGCAAAGGTATAAACTGTTTGCTGGCCTACTAAGAGCACAAGAATTTCAAGGAATTATTACAAGCATGATTATCCATTCATTATTCAGCAGGACTTGCCAATTCATAATCTAGTGCAAATATCTGATAAATGCTTTATGCCTTCTAAAAGCTTTCTCTGAATGTGAGTCTGACTTTGCTATAATTGATTGCTTTATGGAGAAGAGTAATTCATGAAAATTAGCAGATCCTGATAGAGATGATTTAGGAAAAGACCCATATAAGGTTTTGTATAGTTGTTTTAAAATTCAGTAAAGACATAGGCTGGGATATTCAAAGGAGCCTAAAAGGGTTGGTTAGGTAAATTATTTGGAAAGAGATAAACAGTGAGGAGGCAAAGTTTACAGATGGTACAAAAGGTACTACTCAAGGTAGTTAAGTCCAAAGCAGACTGCGAAGAATTACGAAAGGATCTCACAAAACTGGGTGACTGGGCAACATACTGGAAGATGAAATTCAGTGTTGATAAATGCAGAGTAATGCAAATTGGAAAACATAATCCCAACCATACATACAAAATGATGGGGTCTAAATTAGCTGTTACTGCTCAAGAAAGAGATTGTGGAGAGTTCTCTGAAAACATCTGCTCAGTGTGCAACAGCAGTCATACAAGCTGGACAGAATGTTAGGAACCATTGGGAAAGCAATAGATAAGAGAATAAATATCATAATGCCACTATATAAATCCATGCTATGCCCACAGCTTTAATACTGTGTGCAGGTCTGGTCGGCCCATCTCAAAAAAGATATATTAAAATTAGAAAAAGTACAGATTAGGGGTCTGGAACAGCTTCCATAGGAGGAGAGATTAAAAAAACTGGGACTATTCATCTTAGAAAAGAGACTAAGGGGAAATATAATAGAGGTCTATAAAATCATGAGTGCTGTGGAGAAAGTGAATAAGGAAATGTTATTTTCCCCTTCACATAACACAAGAACCAGGGATCACCTGATGAAATTAATAGGCAGCAGGTTTAACATAAACAAAAGGAAGTACTTCTACACACAACACACAGTCAACCTGTGGAACTCATTGCCAGATGTTGTGAAGGCCAAAAGTATAACTGGGTTCAAAAAAGAGTTAGATAAGTTAGATAAGTTCATGGTGGATGGGTCCATCAATGGATCCCCATTGCTCTGGGTGTCCTTAGCCTCTGACTGCCAGATGCTGAGACTGGACGACTGGGGATGGATCACTCGATAATTGCCCTGTTCTGTTCATTACTTCTGAAGCATCTGGTGTTGGCCACTGTCAGAAGACAGGACACTGGCTAAGATGGACCATTGGTCTGACCCAGTGTGGCCATTCTTATGTAAGCCCTATGGGATAGGGGCCCTCTTTTTGTTCTGTGTATTCCTAGCACAGTGGGGTCCTGCTCCATGGCCAAGGCTCCTCGGTGCTATAGTAATACAAATAATAAATGACAACAATAATAATGTAATATAAAGGTGACTCCACTCCCCTAGGCTCCCTGCTAAAATATGTGTTTCAAAAGGTGAAGCAAGAAGATGGGACTCTAAAGCTACTCTCATGTGCAGCCTTTAGAACTACATTCTGCTGTACAATTATTAGTCAGTGGTGTGTGGGTTGTAACTCACTAAATACACTCATTGCCTGAATGAAGTTTCCATCTGTGCTTCACTGCAGTTACAACCCGTTTGATGGACCAAATGAAAATCCAGAAGCAGAGCTCCCCCTTACAGCAGGAAAATACCTCTATGTGTATGGAGACATGGATGAAGATGGCTTCTATGAAGGTTTTGTTTATTTATGTCTTCTTATTAGTTTATGTTGATTTGAAACAATTTAACTCCCATACCGAGTTATCTATGACCAAAATCAGTTGATAAAGTCCCCCTATCATCATCCCTTTAATTAAGAGAATTTACGCACCAGCAAAGCAGCTCCTTCCACTAATTTATGAGATTCCCTGAACCATCACCATTTCCCATTTGGCAAGATTTGTGCTGACAAGAAAGCTTAATGAGATTTCAGTTTTTGCCTCAAAGATCCTCGACTCTCCTCAAGCTGTGAATATTTGATTCCTCTAATCTATGTAGAATTTCCTCTGGCTAGACACTGATACAAAGTAATATTGGAACGAGGTGGCAAGTAGTGGTTTATTACAAGTAGATTAACGACTCCGTGAATACTGTTTACTTTTCATTCACTTTCATTCTGAAGTTGCTCCCTGCGACATCAACATCATATCTTATCTTTTCCACAGGTGGCTGCTCTTCATTTAAGCTGATGTAGTCTTGAGCAGTGTGTCAGATATCAAACATCATTAGCACTCAATGGCTTTTCTGAATTGACAACTTAAGCAATACGATAAAGGTTCTTGTGACCCAGTCTCACAGAGCAGTGCAGTGCATGCATAACTTGCTTCAGATAAGTAGCCTCGTTGGGTATGTCTACACTGTAATTCCAGGTTTAGTAGAACTCAAGTTAGCAGACTCTGGGTTTGTTAACCTACAGTTTGAGCATCTACACTTAACTCCAGTTAGAAATGGTTGAGCACTTGGTCCCATCCTGGGGCTCCAACATCTACACTGTATGATGCAGGCCCGAGTCCAACAACCCACATCCCAGACTTCCTAGTGCCCTCCCAAAATGTGGCTGCTCTAACCCTTTGTTTGTGGTGCAGTGTGGGAAAACTTGACTTTTCCACCAACTTGACTGTCCAGAGGACAAAGAAAGTCAGCCCGTAGGATTGTGGGATACTTTCGTTGGACTCTGAGAGCACGAGAACAGTGGGGCTGCATCTACACCGCAAAGCAATAGGGTTTGAACTCTGAGTCCTGGCTTGGCTCGGGCTCAGACCCACCACCCCCATGGGATCCAGGGTTTGAGCCCTGGGTTAGTGTGATTTGTGTGTAGACAGAAGGGAGGTTAGGCTTGGCTTGAGCCTTAGTTTGAACCCTCGGCTTACATTGCAATGTAGACATACTCATTGACTACAGTGGGACTGCATATGAGGAAAATTACATACATGATTAAGTGTCCTGCAGAACTGGGGACTTGATTTCTTTTATTTTTGCTTCCCATGGCAAGGTATGTACGAGACAACACACGTTGACCCACTTTTTAACTTGCTTCGCTAATACCTACATTTAACGCTGGGCAGGTGTTTCATGAAGATTAACAATGATAAACCAGTTGATAAGTAATTTCATTGTCTAAATGTATCAACTTTATTTGTACCTCAAATAACTCAATATTAGCTAGTGACAAAACAGTTTATTTGGTGGCCTAAATGAAAACTATAGACTTTTGCTAATACATATTTTGAACTCAGAAAGACCCACCAATATGCAGTATTTCACTAATAAAATCCAATTAGTAATTGCTGAGACATGCTCGTATACAAATATGACGACACATGCAATCAGGTGTCCCCATTGAAATGAATCCTTGTGGTCAAGGCACTGGACTGGGATTCAGGAGACATAGGTTCAATTTCTGGCTCTGCCACAGACTCCCTGGGTGACTCAGGGTATGTCACTTAGTCTCTTGGTGCCTTACTTACTCACCTCTAAAATAGGGATGATGATACAGCCTTTGTCTGTCTTGTCTATTTGGACTTTTAGCTCTTTTGGACAAGGATCGTTTCTTATTGTGTAATTCTACAATGCCTAGAGCCACGTGGCCCTGATCTCTGCTGAGGTCTCTCAGTGCTACTGAAAGACATAATAATACATTCAAAGCAACTTCACAATATGAGAGATCAAATAATCCTGTTCGTGTTGCTTGAATCCTGGGTTGTGTTGTACGCCTGAGATTCTCTTGGACTTCAGTGAAAGTGATTAGCACGTGGTTTAATTGTGTAACAGTCATGGGGTCTTTGTAATATGAAGGACACTGCTATTGAACCTTTGATGGAAGGTGGGGAGAGGCTACCTGCTTTAGTGTGCAGATTCCAGACTGATTGTATTTGGGGAATGGATATTAACAGTATTCTACTGTGTTTTATAACCACTTGGATCTGTCAGCTGGATCAGTAACTCAGCAGAACAAAACAGTTACAAGCACTGAGGTCTTTTTCTTAAAGAATAATGTCTGTAGCAACAGAGCAAAGTAAGCGAGCAAAAGCAGAAAGTAAAAAAAAGCATGAACAGAAAACGCCCCACCTTTGGAGTTCAACCTAGTCCTTTGATCCCTGTCTGAGAAATCAGACTTTCCCAATCAGCCTCTTAAGGCATTTTTTCTGAACCTCTCTGTCAGGGACGGAGGACATCTGAGCTGCAGTTAACCCATTAAAAGAACAGGAGTACTTGTGGCACCTTAGAGACTAACAAATTTATTTGAGCATAAGCTTTCATGGGCTACAGCCCACTTCATCAGATTCATAGAATGACCATATAGTAAGAAGATATATATATATATACATACAGAGAACATGAAAAAGTGGAAGTAGCCATACCAACTAGGTATGTTCACCAGGGACCTATCAGTGTCTTGCAACCCCTTACAGTGACCTGCAATGGAAAATATGGCTGCTTATACCTTTAAGCCAGGGCTGCCCAGAGGATTCAGGGGGCCTGGGGTCTTCGGCGGCGGGGGCCCCCCGCCACTGAACACCCGGTGCTTTGGCAGCAGGTCCTGGGGCAGAAGGACCCCCCCCTCCGCGGGTCTTCAGGGCACTTCAGCGGCGGGTCCCGGAACGGAAGGACCCCCCGCCGCCGAACTGCCGCCGAAGACTTGGAGTAGAAGAAGCTCCGGGGCCCCCAGAGCGAATGAAGGACCCCGCTCCAGGGGCCCCGAAAAACTCTCGTTTTGCCCCACTTGCCCCCCCATCTGGGCGGCCCTGCTTTAAACAGGATTTTAATCAATAGCATAAGTTTGATTTAATTCATCTTCACCTAACAAAACTGATCTACAGTATTTCATATTATTTAATGTACTTCTTCAACCCAACACTACCAGAGAAGAGAGTAATCTAGAAGACAGCTTGGCTGGTAGTGTGAGAGGAGTGTTCTTTTGTTAATGATATTTGGGTTGTTCTTTCTCACCAGGTGAACTTCTAGATGGACAAAGAGGACTGGTCCCTTCAAACTTTGTGGATTTTGTTCAAGATAATGAGTCCCGTTTGTCAAGCACCGTAGGCAGCGAGCAGGATCAGAATTTTATCAACCATTCGGGTCATGCTTTGGAAGGAGATAGTCTATTGGAGCTCAATCCGCCGAGTCACATAGAGTCCAGTGTAATCAACAATGGCACGGGAACTCTTGATATGAACATTGATGAAATTGGAGAAGACATTGTGCCTTATCCTAGAAAAATCACCCTTATTAAACAACTAGCCAAAAGTGTTATTGTGGGCTGGGAGCCACCAGTAGTGCCACCTGGATGGGGAACCATTAACAGCTACAATGTCCTGGTTGACAAAGAAATACGGATGAATGTGTCCTTTGGAAGCAGAACTAAAGCTCTTATAGAAAAACTTAACATTGCTACTTGCACATACCGAATATCAATTCAGAGCATTACGAGTAGGGGTAACTCAGATGAGCTACTATGCACTTTGTTAGTTGGGAAGGATGTAATTGTAGCACCCTCTCATCTTAAGGTGGACAACATAACCCAGATTTCCGCTGAGCTGTCCTGGCTTCCTACCAATAGTAATTACAGTCATGTGATCTTTCTGAATGAAGAAGAGTTCGACATTGTCAAGTCTGTTAGCTACAAGTACCAGTTTTTTAATTTGAAGCCCAACATGGCCTACAAGGTGAAGGTCATGGCAAAGCCCCATCAGATGCCCTGGCAGCTTCCTCTGGAGCAACGGGAAAAAAAGGAAGCCTTTGTGGAATTTTCTACATTGCCAGCAGGTTTGATATTTTTTTTCCTGTCCCTTAACTTTGCAATTACAATTGCTCTAGAAATACCAGGTGCACCAAGACTAGTCCAAATAAAACTCCTTCACTGTCTAAGTTCTGAATCATCCTCATGCACAAAAATAGTAATGTAAAGCATTGCTTCCCATTGTTGTGTAATTAATTACTAGTATAGACCATGTTCTTGCATTTGGAGCTGCCTGTGTAGATTCAGTTGCAGCAAGGCTGTAGTTTGCCCTTGTTGTTAGAACACTGTGTGTACCGTCACATATTTCTCAGTCTCAACCTACTGAAAAGTCAGGAGGTTTCTATTAATAATGATCTAAAGTTGGGCTGATTCCATTGAACTTAATGGGTTTAACTGATTTGTGATTTTAGAAAATGAAAATCAGACATGTATTAAGAAAATGCATTTTGCACATCTTAAGTAACAAACAAGAGCTGAGTGGCTTGCAGCAAAGCTCCTAAACCTTGGCGTCTCAGTGTGATAATCACTTTTCTAATGAGATTTCTTTATGGTACTAAAAATACTTCACTGCCAAGGGTGGTAAATTAGCATAATTGGCATATGCCAAGTTGCATAATCCTGCAGTTATTTGTGCCATGACTTCTGTGAGGGATTGGAGGAGAAGTAAATACTAACTGATAATAAAGAGATCATCATTTTTAAAAAATGGATAATAACATTTCAACTGTTTTCTGCACCTACAGCTCTGGTTCAGATTGGTACAAAGCTCTTAGTATTTGAAAAATTCTTGTGATATTAGAATTACAGGGGTCTTGTCCATCAACGTTTTTCTAGCCCTAAGACCTGATTCTGCAACTCTTACATGAAGTAACACTTGCTCACCTTAGTGGTCCTGCTAATTGAGGTCTAAGGGCCCACACTATTAAAATGTAGTAGACAATGTTTCATTTTATAGAAGCCTAGAAATTAGAGATGGAAAAATCCTTTTAGGGCATTTCTAGTTCATTCCTGTCCAGCTACTACGGCATTGTCCACTCCTGTGTCTAGAGACTGGGGTGTTTCAGGAAGATACCCCTGCCAGATCATAAATTAGAGACAGCCAAGTTTATCATCATCATTGAACCTGTAAGTACTGTGGTCCCATATGCTGCATGTTCAGAGCCTGTTCAGAATAACCTCCCTGGGTTTCTAATTGATCTACCTATAGAAATGTGAATAGCTACCGATTTTCGTGCCATTTTCTTTGTTTACCGTTAATAATGTTTCTGTGGTGCTTTTCAGCCGTAGATCTGAAAGCACTTTACAAAGGTGGGTCAGTATCTTTATTCCCATTGGGAAAATTGAAGCACAGAGATGCTAACTGTTTTCCAAGATCACGCAGCTAGACAGCAGAAGTACAGGGAGTAGAACTCAACTCTCCTGACTCCCGTCTGGGGCCCTGTCCACAGACACAACTTGAATGTTTAAAGCTAAAAAATGTGACAGACTTTAAAAAGCCAAGGGTAGTTGGTTGTGTTATTCCATGCTGTGTTTGATTACCAACGTTTGAGCAACGTTATCAAACTTGCTCCAGCAACTGAAGGAGACCAAGGAATGTTTCAGAAATGAAGCTGAAATGATGTAACACAAAATGGTTTGTAAGGACGGTCACAGAATTGATGGTATGTGTGACGTGAGCAGCGGCACGATCCGGAGATCATCACCAACAATATCTGAAAGAATTCAAACACCTTCCCAGTGAGGAACACCACTAATAAAGACAATGACAACAATCCACCTGCACTGCAATGCAGTTGCTTTCCTTTGTTCATCTACCTACTGGAAGGAGCCATTTGCAAGGAGAGAACTCCTCATCTACTCAGACTTTCAGAGGCTTGCCTGCCTTAGCTGCAGTTCAAAGGAGAGATGAACTACATGTGGCTCATGGTGAGTGAAATTTCAGTCCAATGGCATGTACTGTTCTATGACTTGATTGGCTGCCTGTTGTGATAAGATTTCAGCAAAGTAACTGGAGTCGATTCTGTCTCCCCCCCTCGTTCAGGCGGTTTATGTATAAGGAGACATGCAGGATAATAGCGGTGCCCGGTAGGGAGCTAATAGGATTGTAACTCAACTGTTTTGAAAGTGCGTTGGTTTATAACTTTGCACAAAAATATCCTCAGCCCAGGCATGAATTGTGTTGTAAGAAATGCAGCTTTAAATCATTTTGGTGGCTTGTAAAGAGTAAAATAAAAGATAGCTTGGACTCTTTGGTCACTTCTAAAAACACTGGGCTTGATTTCCCCCCCCCCCAACCTCCTGCGGGGGGTGTATTATGCACACCCCTACGCCCACAGGGACAGCTGTGCTGGAATGTGAATTCACTGCTGTGGGAGGGCAGCTGGCAATGCTGCCTGTGCCTTGTGTGCGAGGGGAGGGGGACTGGCAGATGTAAACTTGTATATAGGCTCTACTGCACTGCTTTTTAAATTGTGTGGTGCACAGCCAGGGCAGGGGAGGCTAACAGGAGGTGCAAGGTGGAGCTAAGGGCTGTTCAGGCAGGGCAGGCAGCAGGGAGAGTGAACAGTGTCCCCTCCAGTACTCGGTGAGGGTTGGGACAACCCAGTCTTGCCCATCCTAGGTGCTGCTCTTCACCTCTTTCCCTCCCTGACTGCCGGGGGCTCCCTGCTGCTGCCCTGCCCTGGTCCGGACACCTGGCCAGCTGCAGCCTCATGTAATTTAAACCCTCCCGAGCCCATGGGAGCGAGTGGCTCTGGGCAGGGGGAATAGAGGGTGCAGAGTCCAGCCCCAGTCCGTTCCATGCTGCTGTGCCATGGGCTTCTTCGGGGAGGGAGCCAACTGGATCCTGCCACCGCCTTGGATGTGAGCGGTCAGCTCCCCTTGTTGGGTCACTTTGTGCCCCATGGAGAAAGGGGGTGCAGCAAAAAAAGCTGGGGAACCTCTGCTCTACAGGAGCCAGCAGAGGCTGCCCAGGTGATGCTCTGAATCAGTACATCTGGGTGCCGTGGCCCCTCCCTGGCTGACTATCATAGTGAGTTACATACTATGGACCATATCATGGCATCATACTGGCGTTGGATTTCTGCTTCTAAGTGTGTGGCATCATCCAACCGTCCCCTGTGCATGTGCATAAATTCCATTGACATTACTGGTGGTAACACAGACATACACTCCCAAGGGGGAATTGTTACTTCTGTATGTGGTGCATTGCCAGCCCTATTAGTGGAGAAATAGTTTCAGGTTCAACTCTGAATTGTTTTGCTTTGGGAGTTCAAGTCACGCTCTCAGCATGATCTGTATTTCATATGCTGAACATGAACAGCAGAAAGTGCTGCTTATAGGTCCAAATCCCGAGGGCCTTCCTTGGCTTTTACTCTCTTACTAAGGCGAATTTCTGTTGAAGTGTAGGAATTTGCCTGAGAGCTGATCTACATTAAAAATTGACAGCGTATGCCTCCCAATCCATACCTGAGAGACACAGCTATACTGACCTAAGCCCTGGTGTAGACAGCGCTAGGCCAACAAAAGAATTCTTCCATTGACCTAGCTACCGACTCTGAGGGAGGTGTATTCACTATAGCAACAGGAGAACCCCTCCCGTTGCTGCAGTGAGAGTCTATACTGAAGCGCTGCAGCAGCGCTGCATCCGTGGTGCTGTAGTGGTTTAAGTGTAGACATACCCTAACGAAGGATGGGGTCAGAATGAAGGATCTGAGGAGATTTAGCCCCGCAGATATCCCCATAGCATTTTTTCTACAGCAGTAACTGAGAAAAGACGGTTACTCACCGTTGTAACTGTTGTTCTTCGAGATGTGTTGCTCATATCCATTCCATTAGGTGTGTGCGCGCCGCGTGCACGATCGTCGGAAGATTTTTA